TTGAGCTTACGAGATATCTTAAGGTTCATCAAATTCGTCAAAAGTGAAAATAAACTACTAGGCTGAACTCTCCGGCGAGAATCAGTATATCCTGTCGCTACCGAACGATAGGGCCACACCTGTGGTCACTATTCCGAGTTTGTGTTACTCATGGCATAACATGACTGATTGTGGCCTTAAAGACGAACGCCGATACTGACATGTCCTAATCACATACTGGCCTGGTGCGTGTCTTGAGTACGAAGGTAAAATTATTTACATATATAGTCATATACCTGCAACAGTAATTAAGTCAATCACATATTGAAGTTTTGATTTTGATTGTAATAAAGTGCGAAGAGGTTGTATCACGGAATATTGCTGTACCACAGGCGTAGTTCACGTAAGGGTCAACCGCATCAAATCAATTATTCTTCAGCTAAAGGAATATCGAGGGACTTGAGTGATTGCATGCTGGGATATATATGTGCAGCACACGTGGACGTTGTTGTCATGATTAGTGGGCTTGAAAGCACTGACCTATGGTACAGAGATTTTACGTGGCTTCTGTATATGTATGAGTACCTGATTCTATAGCTAACAGTACCTGTACTTCCTCAACCCACGAGGGCTTTATAAAGCATATTTTTGTTTTGGTATTGACTACGTGCTATTAATCGTGCTTTCTAGATCTCAAATTTGCGTCTGATCGGTGTAGTACTATCATGTATAACAATGGACTAGCTGCTAAAACTGCTTATAATTGGTGCTGTACAACTATGTCTTAATTATTAACCCATTCTTGACAGTTTCTATCTCCACGGCTGAGCCAATCAGTATTGTCATTCGTTAAATGTACGTTCGATCAGGCCAAGCTCGGGACGAGTCATTGATCAACTCACAGATACATAGTCTATAGATCTAGCTCAAATGAAACCTCACACAGCTTGACTTAATTGTGACTGAATGGCCGCCTGCCTTTTATCTCCGTAAGTTCAAAGTCCAATATGCAAGAAGTTGTAGCTAGCATTTATCGACACTAGCCTTCCTAGGTGCCAATCATATAGCTAACTTGTTATCTGCCTGGGGTGCCTCCCCCCCCCCCCCCAAATCGAGTCACAAATATTGAAGTGGAAGTGTGCCTTTGTAGTTATGTGACCATAAAGATTGTGCGTATGACACGAGATCCCATGGTCCTACTAAATACGTTTTCGGAGACGAGGAGATCCTATCAATCATTGTCTCACTCAAAAGGAGCGGGGAGTATCGGATATTCTATTGTTTCAGCAAAGGCAGCATGGCTGCCTTACTCAAACAAATTATAATTAGTCAATAAGTTATGAAAATCGCTAGCTTTAGACTCATGGAAACCTATCAGGATGTTATATTACTGTTCCCAGTTAGTTATCATCGTCGAGGTGTCTTATATCATGAGTTCTCTCTAGCTAACAGAGCTATGGCTATGTCTGGCTGTATAAAATGTGATAGCCGGGTACGGTACGGTACGGTGGGCGTTTGAATTTTCTCATCTTTTAAAGAACTAACCAACCAGTCTACAGAAACTAGAAGATCTACTACACACAAAAAAGCCGTTATCACCAAGGCTAACTATAGCCTTTCAGTGACCGCCATACAAAGGAAGAACACCCTAGCTCTGAATTTGAAAGACCCACCCCGTCATATCAAGACCTATGCTCCTTGTTCCCTATGGTAAACAAGGGGGTAGACGGCGACTACTAACCCTGTACACGCCACTATTGTAAATATCGATTTATCGTAGTTTATAGGTTAAATTATAGTTGAGGCTCTTCGGTGTCTTAACTCTTCATTTGAATTGCAGGGCCAATGAACGAAATTACCGAAGTAGCGGTACACACTAGTACAAACGGTTACTTTTTCTCTCTCTCTCTGCACTATTTTACCTCTCTCAGCACTATTTTACTACAGTCGTTCACCATCTCTTGACGAATATATACTGCTACTTGACGAACAGGGATTCCAAGTACGACAAAAAACAGTCAAGGAACAGCCAAGCTGAGAGGTCTTCAGCCCTTTTAATTTCTATTGGCCCAAAGCCCCCTGTTCGTCGACCGGCAGTATTCGTCAAGCGACGGTGCACTGAACTACTGTACTTTAGTGATAAGGCCGTGCTATAAACATCCGACTGGCGATGGCCATGATAAACATCGCGAGACTCAGCTAGTTGAGGTATTTAGCCTCCAATATCCAATTCCGGCACGATCACTATATTTTTCATTGTGACTCATTGTACATGAATCTTTAGAGTTTAGACATTCCTAAAGCAAACTTTTATATTCTAAGCAAGATCCTCTTTGCCACTTGTGGAAAACGTGACTCTGAGATCACTATTGATATCACTAATAGGTATGCAGCTGCATTGTGGCGCTCTAAGCTAGTTCCATCTCCACAAACGTTAATTCCCCACAGTCTCACACAAGATGAGCACCGAGCCGGTCGCAAACAACACAGTTCCTAGCGGTGATTGGTGAAGAACAATATCGTAGTAAGACGTAGCCTTGGTGCAGCTGTTTCGGGTTGATCGTATACATATACGTAGGTTAGTGATTTGGCGAATTAATGGCAATGATATTGTATACAGCGAAAGGTAGAATTATTGTAGAAACAGGGGTCTAAAAACAGGGTTTCTATGGCTGGGCAAGCCAATAGGGCTCCTCCCATACTCCTACAATAATCTTACCACAAGCTGTATATATGCAGCTGTAGTCTGCCTTGCTCCTAAGCTTATAAGATCAGACGAAACAGGTCCGGGGTATCCAAGCGAGCGCTATGTGTGTTGGTATATAGCTCGAATGAAACCTCTTACAGCTTATACAACTTGGGTCGCCTCCCGAAACCATCTAGTACGTAGCTAGATCTTACCAGCCCCGGCGGGGGGCGCTGTCAATGATCAAGAGAACTACCATGTATTAGAACTCGAAATTCGAAACTCTCACTCCAGCCTACGCACAACCCCCTATCCTCTTACGTATACCTCTACGAATCATAAGCCAATGTAAATAGTTTTCAGCAACTGTCCCCAGTCCGATTCAAGTAAGTGGAGGTGCTCTCAGGGTTAGGTTTAGTTATGCTTCTACAGCTGAATGTATCATCAGCGCCACAGTATAGACCTGCCCAGCCTCATTATGATTGGCTGTGAGACCCCCCCCCCCCCCCAGCCCCCCTGACGTGGCAGTACCACTGTAATGAGTCCACTTGCAGTTCATCCAGCTGCTCAAGGTACGTGATAGCTGAAGAGCTACTTATCTAGGCCTCGAGGTATATCCAGTACGTTTAATTTATTCTGCACAGATCCTCCTCCTTGAAGTTATGGGTCCAACACTTGAATTTGCAGGTCCCTTGAATTACTCTAAGTCGAGTCTAGCTGGCTGCTTGAATTTGTAATGGCCACCATCCAGAACGTGTTCCTTCTGGACTTCCTTCTCGTTGCCACTGCGACGACAACTGATCCCAAACGCGTATGACAGCTGCTGCACTGCCCCCATTAACGCGATCGGAGCAATTGACGTCCCGTATAATACGCAAGCAGCGTGTCAAAGAGTTGCTGTTCGGACAGATATCAGCCATTACAAGCTACATACGTACATACATACATACTCTACATAGCTGGTTTGCGTATTCCACTACGTTAAAGAATTCCTATACTGTACGGTGGGCGTTCTCTCTCGTGGAACGGTGCCACCGGTAGTACCTTGTGACGCCACTGATCCATACAAAGTACCTACATGTAGTATCCCTGCTTAATTCCCCAATGTGTAGACTCTGTAGTATGTACTCTAGAAAGTAGAGCGCTCGGACATCCTTTAGCGAGATCAGGTCAACGGCCCGGTGCCATGGATCAGATGGCAGCGGACCTAGAGTAGTTTGTGCTGCTGCAGCTCCCCCCCCCCCAATATTTGACGTCCGGAAAAAACACTCGCACTCGTGTTTGCCACAATACATCGTGGAAAGCTGGCACATAATGAACGTTGATCGTTCGCCTCATTATGCGGATCCTGCATGTACTCCGATGTAGGGTACATACTCTACTCGTGCACGTGAGCAGCGGAAAGAACCAGTACCTAAATGTAAATTTAAATGCGCCGCTCCATACAAATAATCCCTGTTTTCTCAGTTGAATTCTCTGGTTCTTTCCCCTACACGCGGGTACATACGTAGCGAAACCGGGTTTGCAGGCCTACATCCACTTAACTACAATAGCGGGTATTGTATTGTTCGCCTCCAGTTCTAGACTCCGAGTGAAACATATATGCGCGTATGCGCAAATCTCGATACTTTCGCCGAAATGCATTATCAGCGGACATCATGTTTCTAATTTGATACATATAAGGCGTACGGTATCACACACCAAATGTGGGGTGGGGACAATTGTTCCCCACAATATTGCATGTAGTCAGCCAAATTCGTTGACCATGGCTTCGTCATGTCAGCCTTAGATTATTGTATGGGGATATAGTTGAAGACATGACGATTCAGATTCTTCCTTAGATCGCATTGATATCAAACTCACACGCGGACAGAAATTCATTACAAGTTTATTATAGGACAAAATAAATATAACGAGCGTGATTCTATATCCTGGCTTTCAGACCGCATGACCCCCCCCCCCCCCCCTTCTCTCAAATGAAATATAGCCAAAGCCTTATGTGTGTTTTTTGCCCGGGAGATTTTATCAAAAAAGGATTCTTTCTTGAACAGTGGTTCGAAGCACACGGGGCACAAGGAACAAGAAAATATTGGGTAAATCCACACACACTCAGCCCATGACACAATCTAGCTTGTCCTTGGAACGTGTTCGCAAAACCTTCCCAGATATGTGACTGGCATCCTCCCTCCGTGTATCAACCAATCGATACATATACACGTTGGAGTGCAAAAGCCTAGATCCGGCTCCGTCCTGCGGTTGGGCCTCATACATCTTTCTATCCGATAAACCAGCGAAGTAATAAACATCTGCACAAGGTGATTAAAAATTGATGTTGCTACACCGTAGTAGATGGGGCTGGCTGGGCAGCCCGGTGGTGTGTAAAATGAAAGTTCTCGTGCATTGTCCTGTCCCCGTTCGCCCATTTCCTGCTCTCGTGATATTGCCTCTCCTGCTTCTGTTTTTCCTCCGGTCCCTGCTCTCTCTGTCTCTTTTGACGCTCTACGCTCTCCTCGTAACCTTCTTCGCCGGGCCGCAAGATTTCGGTCGTTGCGATGGTAGTGGTTACAGTCATAGTCACCGTCTTCGTCACCATTTTTCCATATGCCTGGACCCTGGTGCTGCTGGGAATCGGGTTCCCGTCCGAGTCCACTTCTATAGGGCTCATCTCAGGCTTCTCATAGGAGGTCTGCACCTTCTGGTCTGAAACTACATAGGACACGCAATCCCAATTGACTGTGGGCTGTTGTGGTGCTTGAGATTCTATCTCAACAGGTCCAAATTCCCTCGGCTCCTGGCATTGATTGGTGATTCCAGGGCCTTGACTTTGGAGGGGGACTGATCCCGTATACTTAGATTCTAGTTTATCAGATCTCTGGTTAATCGCCGTAGTGATATTCTTGTTCGGCGGCGCCGAAGAACGACGCACACAACCAGGCCGCGGAGAGCAAGGTGGAGTGGGCTCCTGAGTCGGTTGTTCCTGGTTTGAAAGCTCTTCTCTCTTGATCCTAACGATAATATTCCGCTGAGATCTCCTAAGCTTTTGGACCCTGGAACCCCCACGAGTCTTTTTAGTCTTGACATAGACGGATCTATTATCGCGCCCCCCCATATTCCCAGTGTATAGAAATATAGGCAGAAATCGTAATGCGTGCCGGTATATGAAGCTTTGATAATGTATCCCGGCGTGCTACTACAGACGTAGAGGAAGGATCGGAAATAAAGCGGGTGCCGGTATAAATAAGGCCGAATTGTCAATTTATAAGGAAATATATATAAAGGTACGTTTAGAGCAATTTATCGATCATATATGCTCTAGTTGGAACGAGAGTTGTAGTATTCAATTTTGGTCGGGGCAGGGAATGCGCAGAGTTTTCAGGATCGCCTATGATGATGTTGAGAATGCTGGATTTGGAGACATTAAAGGAAGTGCGACGGCTTTGGCTTTATACCAGATAATTGTCTTGCAGCTTGAGGTGAATCACTGTGACGTGAATCACTGTGACGTGAATCACTGTGAGTGAGTTACTGTGATGTGAAGTAGGTCAGCTTAGTGATGGGTCCGCAAGTAGCGATTCTTAGCTTATGTTACTCACAGAGCTAGGCAACAGTGGAGCCTTGAGTCCTTGACCCTAGCGTTTGAGAACTCCCGCTCGGCCATTAGTATTGCGCACAGCACAGCGCTTTCTTTGATGTTCATCTACACATATGTTAAATATAAACCTATGGTTATGTATAGTGACATGTTTATAATTCAGCAATTAAGGTTTCTAGCTCTTATGATTCCAAAACCTTCATTCCAAAAGCTAAAGAGAGGTCTTGATTAGGCCTGTACTAATACTAAATTTATTTAGACAGGATCACAAGATACATACATGAGCTATAGTCCTGGAAGTGATACTCATGTGATTTAGTCTTGTGTATACATTTACTGCTAGCCTGCACGTACGTATATTCGAGACCTCGCGCATGGATTAGAGCTTCACCACTGCGGGCCCAAATTTATGTACCACGATAGTGCGAAGATGAACCCTGCACGAGTTTTTGCCCATTTTCAGCCTTGCAATGCTCACTCGCGACCTTCTGGCCTCAATTACGTTTGACCTAGCAACGCGGAAAGGCACTCAGAATTTCAACTTTTAATATAATATAATGTTTAAATAAGATAGATATTTTAGTCATATCCATGATACATGAGTCTCTAGAATAGAGACTCCATTTTTTCAGGTCATTAATTTAAGATTTTTAGCCTGTGAAAGAACAATCTGTAACAAGAAACAGTAATAAAAGGGAGAAGCAATGGCTATTCATATTAACTCTTACCATAGCTAGGATCTCCACCTTCTAAATTATCATAGAATCGCTCCAGACTCCGTTAGCTAGTTTGGTTGTTGAGGAATATGGACTATTCGATCGTTGCATCACTTTCCGGCACCCCCGGGTACATGTATACTAACGATGAAGATCTAGAACCTAACAGAATCTAGGCCTCTAGCTAATCTACCTTTTGGCTTATAACTTATGACAGTGCCCCGAGGTATAACAATTAGGTAGCTATTTAGCTAGCTAGATACGAGCTGTTTTTGACCCATGTTATTGTAAGAGCCGCATTCTTGATCCTGGTACATTCCTCTTTAATTATCTGATTTCCTATAAGCATACCTATATTATAAAGAATTTGAAAACATAAGCTTCTTAAATTGCGCAATTTCTATAGCTATACTCCAGCCTTTAGATCCATTCACAGCATTGAAGCACTCCGGTCAAATCAACTAGTGCTAATAGGTGGAAGTCAAGTACGTATGTATGTGCCTACATATAATCATTAACGTAAAGCTATACGAGTAAATAATAATGCAATTTTCAAGTGAGTACGTATTTTTGTGTGGCTTAGAATCAACGGCTATACATGCAAGCGTGCGCGGGAATTATATTCTGCATTTCCATATAGGTCATCGCGTGCGAGTGCTCGCTAGCTACATATACACCCTGTAAAGCTTATCTCAGAGGAAGAGCTTCGAGAATTATTACGTCACTAACGGTATATATATATACTCTTGCTCGAGATCTCCTTAATTGAGCCCTTAGATATGGCTTGAGCCTTTCAGCGTTCCTTGGCCATTTGATAGTACTTCGTAGATTTAGTGTCTGAATAGAGTCCAATGATTGGGTTTCACATAATAGTGGCCAGACAAGCTAGCTGGCCGGGACGCCAGCTACATCAGCCCTACATAACATAACATGAGATGAGGCTCTACGATTGTACCTGAACCTCTTTGCGTTGACCGTAATACCAGTATTCAGATCTATAATAAACCGTAGATTATTTGTCTTCAACCTTATTGAGTAACTCGATATATTAGACGTATTGTACCTACGTACCATCGGTCCGAGAACAAGCCGATCTCAGCCGGAAAGACCTCTCACAACCCCTTCGTTTTGAAAGCTTGTGACGTGCAGAGATCTGAGGTCTGTTGAAGTCCTGTAAAGTCATCATGCAAAAGTTGAAAAATTTTCCCACTAGACTAGTACTGCTGGCTTCTCTCTGATTGTGTAGGTAGATGTAGTGATATCGATGTGTTCCACGCTAGTAGACAATTAGGTAGTGAAACAATGCCAACAAAGAATACAATGCCGTTGTTGTTTATGATCAGATGTTGGCTGGCGCTTAACTCTTTTTTTTTTTTCTTCCTTTCTTTTTCTAGGATGCACACAAGAAAGTTTCACCAACGCATTGATATCGACATCAACAAGGCGGATTCGAGACATATGTAGTTACCATATAATTACTTCAAATAAGATCTAGTGTCAACCGCATGCATATATATGGTGGTTAGTGCTGGTGCCTCAGCGGCTCAAGGAGATCTGACAATGAATAGGTTCTTATTAGAATAAGCATTCCCTGCGTGGTTAACCTCATCCTTGTGTGCACGTGTCTTGTCTTTAATTTTTTGCGACATCAAGGCTGCACAGCCTTGCCCCATAATATCTCTCCTTCATAGAATGTTTCTGGAATCAATATGACTAGATACAGAAGTGGCATCCTCTCTCGAGGCTTAAATCACAACCTATTCCTCTCCCTGTTGCTTTAGATAATACGTATCTGAGATGCGATCCACTCGCTAGCTAGCGATAGATGCGAAAACGTCTGACGTCTGACTCACTGCGACTTTCTGAAACGTGCCTGGAAGTGGGCAACTACAGTACTGCTAAGATCTGCATATGTTGCTTCCGTGTATGTATTATTTGTAAATGTTACTGAGGCGAACGACGATATTGTAGTGAAACACATCAAGACCTCCATTTAGGATTGCCAGTATTGGTGTGCAATGCGGTCCTCCATTTTATAGGGCTCACTCAGGCTCTGAAGGCTAAAGTACTTTTGTATCTCGCTAATCCACAGATATCAAATCACCCCACCGAGAACTTAGTCTGGTGAGAATTCTGCCAGCGCTGCAAAGACCTGTAAACTTTGGACGACCTTTTATTGGGAGTTTTAGCCTCATAAGTGCTATCTTCTCGGGATATTCTTCCAGATCCTATCTTTTGAGAAAATTTCTTCGACCAGGGCCATCATTGAACAAGAGCACTTCCGTTCGGGGTTGAGGACTGTTGGTGAAGCTTCCTACCATGCTCTCCAGTTTCTGCTAACCGCGTATGGTACAGCGGATGTTATGCTGTCACCTATCATTGCCTGACACGCAGAGCTTCCACCGCATTCACACATAAGTACAGAAGACCTACTCTCTTTCACCCACCGTATGTTTCAATATTTTGTGTGATATTCTTGATTTCGCCACAGCATGCTCAGTTCTAATATCCCCAAATAACTTTTCGATCGACAAGATCCATCTGCAAAAATATTCGAAGCGATCCTATACTCAGGCGGCCGATTAAGGCAGTGAAACTTTGGTCATACAGACCATGTGAGGGTCATAAGCAAGTGACACATGGATAGCTTCCAAATTCATCCGTATCCAGGTATGTTCTAGCTGAGTTGGCGAGCATTAAACTCAAGCCCTTGTGGCTTGGTTCAAAAATATCCGCAAGGTCCATAGTTGAAGATATATAGTGACTAGTCTATCAATTCATCTACACGTAGAATTCCACTCACCTCCTCCAATGTTCCTCGAGGAACATCATTTGTTGCAGCAAGACCGACCCTCGATCCATAGTCAACGTCACTGTTACTCGACTGTCTCCCAATATAGTGTACCCAATCTTAAAGGTAACCGAAAATTGCGGAAAGTCGATAGCTAATAACTTTTCGACGAAAAAAAGATAAGAGAAATCAGCAAAGACAAAGTCGAGTACTAGTGATGAGGTTTAGTTCTTCTTTCCAGATTTTCGATATCTATCCTGGTTTTGAAGTTATTAGAGCTTGAAATCAGCTGTTTTTGTATGTAAAAAGCGCCAAGACTGAGCAAAGTGGAACAGCATTATATCCATTTATTTATACCTCCTCAAAGGTGAATTGCTAGGAATAAGCCCTCTCATTGGCCTTGGAGTTCACCTTGTAGCCACCCCTAGATCCCGCCGTGTCACCTTAAGAGCGTGCGCACCATAGAGGATTTTGCAGCAGATATAAGCGTTGTAGCGATGTCTCCCAATCTTGTTTTCTATGCCTGTAGAGTATATCTCCTAAGTAATGTAGTTTCTTCAAAACCTGGCGAAGGGACGAGGTAGATCGCTAGTTGCCATGACCACAGCGCAACGTCGTAAGCCTTCCACCAGATGGACATAAGTAACCCACGTAGATACCTATTCCTGTGTTCTATTCAGTATGGAATGCTGGTATAGTGCCAACGCAAAGCAGTACATGTATCCGTAGTCTAAAAATGAATCTGAGATCACCTGATCCTTGAGTAAGTACAAGGCTTCTCTGCCAGGATTAGTTGAACCGCCTAGGATATCATGAGTACTCACCGAAGAACCTGCCGTTGAGGAGGCGAGAATACAATGCACCAATAGTTTCCTTAGCCGATATGGGCTTGGATAAAAGAAAAATGGCATCTATCGCAATCCCCGTCGCCTAGCCACAAGGCTTAGAAATCTTCTGGCTCACGGATACCGTGCCATAACAGCCTAGATAAAATCCCTATAAATCCTTATATTGTCAAATAGTAGAAAGCTTGACTATAAAGTCACTCCCTAGGGTGTACCGGGCTAGACCTAGTAACGGTCTACTAGTTGGGATAATTCATGTATTTGTTGATAGGATCCATTCCATGAACCGGACCCCGCAGTGTCCGTCTCGAGAATGATATTGGTCGATGTAGTACACGCCCTCACGAGTCACGACCACGATACAAGCCTGCAAGGTGATCATTAGACGCGTAACTTCTAATTCTTCGTTATTGGTGACACTTTCGGTGCCTAGCCTGTCATTCCAATAGTGGTTTTTTCTTTTTTTCTTTTTTTCTTTTTTTTTCTGATCAAAGCCTTTCGCAAACGGCGTGGAGTATCTCAATTGCGGGACCAACGTACTGGTGCCATTGACTACCCACAAAGCTTCATCCAGTACCCAGTTCAGGTTGATAGCTGAGCGCCGTGTTGATCTGGTAATAACCTTATGATCAAAGCTGCCTCCAGTTCATCCTTGGAATAATCACCTTGTGCCATTGCAAGCCCCGAATACCTCGAGCTCGCTTGGCAGGCAATAAGCCATGGCACCAAAGTATAACTCATTGATTCCCCTAAACACTTTAGGCCTATTTCCTAATTGGTGAAGACCTCTCTCCATAAGGCTTCAGTGCTGTTGGCGTCGAACCGGCTTGCTAGAGGGCGAACTCCTAATCAAACCTGTCGGCCATGACTTTTCATTCAGTCGGCCCTTATAGCATCGAATCGACGAACACCTCGATCCGTCTCCGAGAAACTGATTCTAAGGAAATAGCGCACTACACTTCGAACTATTTGATTGGTAAACTTGGGCGATCAGTTATGGAGGACTTGTAGACAGTTTAGTGGACGTAAACCAGTTGCCTTTTGCAATGCAATTCCAACTTCTTCGTGTGGATAGAATTCAAAGGCTTCCTCGTCTGGTGCCGTCAAGTCTGGTTTGGCCTCATCATTGAACGGCCCTCAACATTGCAAGACCTGGTTGCATCTTCATCGCAAACCGCAGTTGCACCTTCAGTGAGATCTGCAGTCTCCAATCGGCAGCATCGAGAGCTCAAGGCCTCCATCCGATGCTCAAGCAAATCGAAACTCGAGAAGCTTACCATAATGTAATGTGACTTATTCCTGGCCAAATAGCTTACGGTATCGAATATCCGAGCCCGAGTGCTTGATATTCGACTCACCGCCTCTGTATCCATTGCCTTCGACAACGGTGGTACTGGCCTTCAGGTAACTTGTTGAGCATATGGCCGAACCGAACTACCCCACGCACCGTTATTCTTTATTGATCAATGCCTTCAGGAACGATACCCATTGAGTAGCATAGCGTATTCTTAACATTGAGATACTGAAATCTCACGTGGAAACTGCAATTAACCACCAATCTCCACTATCTCTGAGCTAGACCGTATCCCGAGAGAACCACGCACCTCAGCATCCCCTGGATCGCTAGAGCATGACTCCGGCGCCGCAAGGAGCTGATGCCCATTAGCTAACAGAATAGGTCTCCGAGAATATGTCGACTGGATTGAATTGCCCACCTACTGTGACCTGCGCAGCTCAATTCCCACCTGGAGTTGCGCTGCTTCCCCCAATCCGTCTCGCACCCCCGTGCCCCCAATTCCCCGCAGCCCCAACACAACATTAAGGCAAAATACAAGGCAATAGAACTCCTCCCGACTTGAGCCATGACGGCATTTCTCTGAGCATTAAAATATCGTCGCAATTACTGCGCAGTACCAACCGTTACCTTCGTTGGCATCCTCTTTGATGCAAGGCACTGATATCCCCAGACAGGTGGGTCCAGATCTTACCGCCCGAGCACCAGCGGTCAAAAGAATATCATTAGTAAAGGTTCTCAAAAACTCCGAGCAGTGTTCGCAATGTAACCTACCGTTTTTCCTCCCCCAAAAGAAACGAGCTGCGCACGCTCGTACCCTCGCAATCAATTCACGCGCAGTTTCCTATTTGTCCATACGAATATATATCACGTTGTAATGGGCCATCCTTACTTACGGATCGATGAATTGAGCTCGTAATAGATATCACCTACAGCAGTAGTACTCGCCATTGCCGACTGAGCTACGCCATTACACGCTCCGCAGCTCGCTCGGACTCAGTGTACCGGATTGTAGGTCCAGCCAGCCAAAATTTCAATTCCCGTTCTAAGACTCGGAAAAGTAAATGAGACCCAGCAGGAGCAGGTACGGGTTCCAATCATGCAACTTCCCGAGTGGCAGGAGATGACCGAGCCAGCTCGGCGTAACGAGAGAGTGCGAAGCCTAATAGCTAGCCCTAGGCCTTCTTGATCATGAATACCGCCTTATTTACTTCAGCGGGCCGGGTCAAGAAAAGAAATGAACAATAAAAAAGTATTGAGCGCTCCATCTATGCAAGTAACAACACATTTGAGATCAGTTAGCAAGCATCTATAACAGGGCCTAACAGATAGGGAGTGAAGATGCGCGCGCGGCGGGGTTACCATGAGGTTCGCAATTTGGCGGATATGTTCATTCTCGTGTGGGTGAGAGGAACGCGACGTTAAATTGAAAAAGATGAGGCTAGAACTATGCCAGTGGTTAGTGGGTCTTGTATCCCCCCCTTCCCCCCTTGATCATGAATCAAAACAAAAAAAAAAGCCCTTCCCCCACAATGCGCCCCTCCAGCGCCGGTGGGGAGGCAATTGTGAGCTCAATTGCAAACAGGGGGGCAGGCAGGCAGAGGCCATTACTCCATACCACTATCAATGAATGCTAAGTGCATATATACTTGTATGTATGTATGTAGATGTAGCTCTGCGGCTCTTTCTCTAGCTCTGTAATGACTTGTTCAATTAATTAATCTCTCGGCTTAGCTATATCATCTCTTTTCTTTTCTGTTTCGCTTTGTTTTGCTTAATGTACCTTCTGCATACATACATGTACACCCACATATATCATACCGCAAAATCTCAGGAATAACGAATCGAACTAGACTAGAATATTTTGCTTCGGATTGGTCAAATGCTTGTTGAGCCTCAATCCGACAAACCCAAAGCGTAACTTTTGGTCGTCTTGACCAATGGGTAAGTGGTATTCCAGCCCAGTTCGATTCGTTATTCCTGAGATTATGCGGTATCCTACGCTTGATCATCTACCTACGACTTCCAACCCGTCCCGCGGCGTAGAATGAGGTGGGGGTGGATTTTAATTTGTGGTTAATTATGTAACATTAACATGCTGTGTAGTTGTAGAGGTGGTAGTTGGTAGTAATGGTGAATTTTGGCTCCGGGGATCCTTTTTCATTCTCGACGGTGTGATTAACTCTCGCTACGGGTAGTATCGTTATTTAACTTATCTCTGTGCGCAGCGAGTAGAGTACCCCACCACCCCTCGACTAAATTGTCATCTCGGGGTTTTTTTTTTCTCTTTCTCACATGTAGGCTACTGGCTACATGTAGCTGCCTGGATGTCTCAGCCCTGTTGGCTTCTATGGTGCCGCGTCGATGCGCATGTCCGGATTCGTTACTATGTACGTGCGCACTTATGCAGGTGTGGCAAAGACGCGAAATTATGCATCATGCATCATCACTCGGGTGGAGCACGGCAGTGTACACATGACGTGAGATATGGAATGTGATATGTAGATCGGATCGGAATAAGGGACAGAAAGCTTTTCCGATGTTGCCCTAGGTGCGATCTACCCCACATAGGGGTCGTCCCGGGTCTGTGGGTAGGGTGTGTGAGAGAGTAAAAAGTATTGTCGCTCACAGGGTATTGGCGGATACTGGGTGATGGCGGACAGGGCAAAAGAAGACCAATCCACCAATACCCCGTGAACGACAGTACTCTAGAGTATGTATTTGAGACATGGGTCTTCACCGCTTTAATATAACTTTAAGAAACTGGGAATATGGAATTGTTGTACTTGCATGCATGCATGGCACGAATTACGAAAATCAAGAAATACATGTATGTATATCGTCACCGACAAAATTTTCAAAGGAAACAGAGCCTCACAGGGCTTGCAATTGAAACGGTGTGTAGACGCGCAGTGCTCACGGGGGAGGCATAGAACAGACATCTTCGTAGGCAGAGAAAATTCTCTTAGCGGAATCTGAACAGTCTCTAGAGACCACATAGCAGTTCTTAGGCAGGTCCCCCCGCCGCGTTTTGTTTGGGATATTCACTTCCCACAGTTCGCAAAAAATAGAGAGTTAGAGAGGGTGTAAAACGCCCATAAGCATCACCGCTGTTATCGCAGTGAGATCCGCGTTTCACGTCAAAAGTGCAACAAAACAAGATAAGACTGATCACTTGACGTATGCCAAGATGTTCTGGAAAAACTTTCCCCACGATATGTCAAGGTACCCCTCAATTTCAAAATGACTTCAATTGAGACAAAAATTTGCACCCAGAACCCTCCATCTACCCCTGGGGGCGTCTAACTACCCCCTCTCCAAGCCCATCGTCCAGAATCCTTCCTCCAGCTTCCCCACCATTATTATTAGCTTCCATTATTTATTAATCCGCCAGGGTTAGGGTTATTTCAACGGATGAACTACCTTGGTGGCTTTCGCGAATATCTCGACCAATTCCTCAATCCTGCCAGCGCTCTGCTTGATGGAATACTTTTCCAGTAATTCTACCAGCACACCAACCCTTTTAGTACTCAATGGTAATTGCAATTAGAAACAGCGCAACAAAGGAAACACGACACGACACTCACCTCTCCCCTCACGATACGCACCTCCATAGTCATCACCCGAATAACTCTGCACCCATTTCCAGTACATATTCCCCTGGGCGGTGGCGGCGTACTCCTTCTCAAGGCGCACTGCAACATGGCGGTAACCCAGCAGACATGGCGCCATGGCGACCTGCAACGCAAAGTAGTCCTGCGTCTGGCCAATGTCAAGTACGTAGCGCGTATAAGCGGTGCAAGCTTGTGATTCGGTGGCGGAGTCCATTTGCGATTGCATCACGCCGAAGCTGGCGCAGTAGCTGGTATGGAGAGTCATCTCGCGCTCGACGTAGTGGATGATGGTGGCTGCTTTGGAGAGGTCGCTGATGGTTGTGCCTTTGTAGCCAGCGAGGGCGTTGGCGCGAGCGAATTGGATCTGGCGGGGTTAGCAAAATGTGGGGGTTTGAGGGGAAGTGAATGGGGTGGTATGGGATCAATCCATATGCAAACCCGATACAACCCCGAAACGTCCTGTAAACAGGAAAATTCAATTGCAATTGCAATTGGAATTGGGATACAAGCGATATCGAGAGATCGTTTGAGATCGAGTATAGTCCACATCACCTAGTGCTATGCCTTATGCCGGACCCCAAAAGACCTTTCGATATGATTTGTACCGTATCAACAATTCCGCATCATATATTGGTCACAGAGGGTGCCAATGATAACGAAAATAAAATCATTACCCCACGATCCTATATGACCAATGTACGACCGAAGACCACCACTAAAAATAATGAGGACACAACTCACAAGAAACAAATAATCCTGCATCAAATAGTGTTTAAAGCATTCCTTATCCAGCGTCCCTGCGCCCAATTGGTTGGCAAAGTCATGATGCGTGTAGTCGTGCCAGTGGCTCTTGACCCTGGGGTGGTTGAGTAGATAGTCTACAAAATGTCCTCTTGGGTCCATTCAAGTCAGCTCCAGGCAATAGCGGTAGGAGTAGTAGCAGAGGTGGAGGTCAATACGGCGCAAATGGCAGAACATAATTGCTGTGTAGATGATTGATTGGGCCATGTCCCTTCCCAATCCCTGAGAATGAGGTCCTAATTGCCGCAGAGATGTAATTGCACGCTGCCCTCACAGCGTCCTCCAAAGTGAACCCTCTCGCCAGATTCGCCGCAATTGATGCTGTAGAAACTCAGTAAGTACCCAGAAGCACAAAGAATGAACACCCCATACAAGCCAGCGAGCACCCCGTTCCATGCGTATTTTTGCTATCCACGTATGGACTCTCGACACACACTGCCGTGCCTCCTTCTACCACCAACACATCAACCACAACCTCCCTCTCCCCCTCCTTTTCCGCAAGATAGTACTTTGTTCCAATTTTTCGAAAAGGTATATGGCCACCCTTCAACAGGATGTTCTTGGGCCCGTGGGTTTGCAACGCCTTTGCGATCTCGATGACGGTCTCGACGGAAGTGACAGCGTCGACGGTAATATTGAGTGTTGAGAGGAGAAGTTTGGCTTCAGGGATGTTGGGCGTTAGGAGATAAGTGTGCGGGAATATATGCTCTATGAACGCTGCGACGGCGGATGTCGGGAGGAGCTCTGAGCCAGACGTGGAGACCATAACCTGGGGGGTTGGGGAGTTAGCGAGTTGAGCTTTCAAATGGTGGAATGGGTAATATTATACAGGGTCGATAACCGTCCTCTCCAGCTTATACTTCTTCAATACCTCGGCCACGACCTTCACTGTCTCCTCTCCCGCCAGCATTCCTAACCTACAATCAGCTCAACCCCCCCCAAAGCACAACTGCTCACTCGACCACCAACTATCACTAACCCGTCTTGACCACATCCACACCCACATCCTCTAGCACGGCCTCCAAGCTGCTCCTCAGAAATTCGGGTGGTACAATATGCACCCCACGCACCCCACACGTATTCTGCGCCGTCAGCGCCGTGATGGCCGTCATCGCATAGCACCCATGTGCTGTAATCACTTTGATATCGGCCTCAATCCCCGCACCGCCTGACGGATCTGAGCCAGCAATTGTCAGTACTCTTGGAGGTGTTGCTTCTGCTGACATTTTGTGAAATGTTTCGTCGCTATAGTGGGGATATGAGCGCGCTCACAGTTGTTTAATATTAGCGGGGCAAATCGACCCCTGACGGTACTTGTGGGTTAGGGTTGATTATGATGCGCGGCCGGTGGGTGTGGGCATTGAGGATGCAGAGTGATGCGATGAGGCTTTACCCGCGCGGGCATAATTAAGGATGAGCTTGGAAAATGTGATATCAGCCAGCAATAAAATTGCGGTGAGCATCTCAACTACCCCACCAACCAAGGGCACTTTCAGATATATCTATATCGAAAATTTAAAAGAAAAAGATGGCCCCACCAAACCCAGACTTAACCCTCTATCTCGTCACCGACTCTTCGCTCCTCCCACCGGGAACAACTCTCCCCGAGCATGTCCGTGCCTCCATCAACGGTGGTGTGACAATCGTACAACTGCGCGAGAAGAAACTCTCGACAGCCGCATTCATTTCGCTGGGGAAACAAGTCCACGCCATCACGAAGGAGCTCGGTGTGCCGCTTCTCATCAACGACCGTGTCGATGTTTCACTTGCAGTGGGGTGTGAGGGTGTCCATGTCGGCTGGGACGATATGGGTGCGGTCACTACAAGTTCTTTTTACGGCCACTGATATTACTACTACAGCTGTTGTTGTTGCTGCGACGTCATATCCCAGGATAAACGTATCGCTAACTCCTTCGTGCTTGCAGATTGTCAAACAGCCCGAAAGATACTCGGACCCGACGCAATTATCGGACTTTCGGTCTCGAACAAAGAACAGCTTGCAAAGGCCCTCGAAGCAGGTCCAACATACCTAGGTGTCGGCCCCGTTTACGCAACCCCCACCAAGCCAGACCACAACACGCCCCTCGGCCTTGATGGATTACAGCAACTGCTTCAACACATACCAGCAAACCTCCCATGTTGTGCTATTGGCGGTATTAACGCCCAGAATGCAGGTACCGTCATGAACGCCTCTAGATCCAAAACCTCTCCCGCAAGCTCGCTCAATGGTCTGGCTATTGTGTCTGCGATTATGGCGTCCCCAGAGCCCGCAAAAACATGCAAGAGTCTTAAGTCTCTCATCGTCCCATCAATATTATATAAAAATCCCCAAAAGGTTAATCTTACATCATATCTTCTACAAATGCTTCGAAATTTTCGCGAAAACGGCCCCCCTCTCATTCACCACATCACCAACAATGTCTCAAAGACGTTGCACGCAAATGTCACCCTTGCCATCGGTGCCTCTCCAATCATGTCTGAGAACGAGTCTGAATTCCAGGATCTTGCTCGACTCGGGAACAGCGTCTCACTTGTTCTTAATATGGGCACCTTCCTCGGCGAAGAGGCTACAAAAGATCTTTTCATAAACGCGATAAAAGCCCACAATTGTGGGAATTATATTGTCTTCGATCCTGTTGGTGCCGGTGCTACAGAATCACGAAGGAACTTTGCGAGGACTATAAAGGAAGCTGGTGCTACCCTTGGTAACTCAATGATCATCAAGGGGAATGAGGGAGAAATTCTCACTCTCGCCGGTGAAAATGTTTCTATGCGGGGTGTTGATGGTGCTGGTGCTAATAGCGGAAGGGAGAGGGAGAGAGAATTGGCAGCTATTGTTTCAAAGCTTGCAAAGGACTGCAGAGGTATAGTGGGAGGATATGCAATCGAAACCCGAATTCTGGGTATCAATATTTCTTACATATAGTGTAGGCAGTACTATCGTGATGACCGGACCAACAGATATCATATCTGATGGAGTGAAGACCTTTCTCCTACGGAATGGAGACCCTATTCAGACCATGGTCACCGGCGTAAGTCGCCCTACGCTTATGAATATTCTGGTCTAACTCACAGTCGGAGTAAAGATCGGGTGTGTTCTATCCTCCGTCATCGCGGCAATCCTCTGGAGTTCTAAATCATTCTCCGATAAGCTGCTTGCCACCGTTGCTGCAGTCTCGTTCTTCAACCTTTCCGCTGAGCTTGCAGCAAATACTGAACCGAGACCTGCAGGCCCTGCTTCGTGGGCGATCAGGTTTGTAGATATGCTTTCGAAGGAGCCAACAGAAGACCTTGTTCGCCAGTTTAGGATTGAGGAGATCAAGGTTTAACACCTAGGTAGTGGGATCTAAGATACTGGTCTTGGGTTGCAGCGAGAAATGTGAAGATTCCGGAACAAGACTGGAATTTCCATCGCCGTAGTGTACCCTTCCTTTCCTTCTCCACTATTGATGAAACCCTCTCCCGTAAATATGCTCCTGAAATATCATTGGCATCAGGGTTAGCGTCCTTCTGGAACCAACAATCTTTTCCTAACCCTACCCACAATTGTAACCTGTCTTCTTTCCGTTGAACCGCAAAGAGTTAAAGCCACAACTCTGCCCAGACAACTCGATAGTCCTTAGCTCATAAAATCCCTTCAAGTTTGAAAGCGGTTTAGTATCTAATTATTGCGACAAAACGGCCATGCATACGACCAGGTAAATCCCGAATGACTCTGAAGGTATAGGCCGGAATCCCAACTCCTCATCTTGTTAAGCTTTCTACTAAAACAGCTACACTTTTCGACGTCCCCAGGTAGAATAGGAAGGTTATAGTTTGACTGATCAGATATAACCCTATGCCATGCATACAGGCAGCCCAGCTAGCTAGCGCTAGTGCGGATCAAGACCTGCCAACCTGGTGTGGGCACTCTATTAGGCGTAACCCTGACCCTCCCGTGAACAACGATCGTTCTACCGCCGGCCATGAAGTCCCTATAGATGAAACGCCAACGCTGGAGTAACCGCAGTACGGCTCAGCCTTAGCTGAAGAATACACCTTCACCGCATAAATACTGAAGATTTTCCCTACCCCACTCTCCAGCCACCACTATAGAGTAAAGCTCCCGGAAGGCGCAGTTGCGACGGATCTCCCGTTGCCGATAATACGCGATGATTATATAAACGTGCAGCCTTTTGAGGATCTATTTTAACCACCTCTGTGCAGAATTAAGACTATCACTTACCTATTCGAAGTCCACGGACATAGCGTCTTAGGAAGGATATGCATATCATTTGAGTTTAGAAACATGAGCATGGTTTTTAAGCATATGGTTAATTATTATAAGGGTGCTTGATCGCGGCATTAGTTAGTATCCCAGTTTAACTTCATATAAAGGTGTGTAAAGTTATTGGATTGTCCATTGCTTCAATATTGTCGGGTCTACCCCTTTCTAGACACCGAGTTGATACATGTAGTTACACGGGCAATTCGTAGCACAAGCTATTCATCCCATGAAACGGCTCTGCACACCCAGCATTTCTGTGAGGGACAGAAAGTCTTTCGTCCCGACGCATCTTATAGGCACATGTAGGCTGTTGTGATTGCGCTCATCCTATAAATAGGGTCTGTGGCCGGGTCGGCACCTGGTTGGTAACAAATGTATAGTTGGGCTAACTCAAGGAAGATTTAAGCAATCCTGATTACCAAAAACTTCGCAGGTACGATAGCTGTGCTTACAGGTTATTAATCCTCTCGGGATTTGTGATTAATGGCCATGATATTGGCATTGGCCAAGTCCCGCTTGAATTGGCTCAGGTACGCCGCAATAATAAGCTTAAAGGTGTTAGTGTAATAGGATGCTGCACCGTATCCGTTACTTCCGATTTAGTGCCTTTTGAATCCTGAGGTTGCTCCTTCCTTCTTCTCTCGCCCCATGTGAAGTTCCCTGGATGCTAGTTAGTTTACGGTGAAAAAAAGAGTCGGTCGGATTCACCAATCTCTTTTCTTACATGGATAAGGTAATATTAGATTGAGTGACTCGAAGTAGCATCCTAATGATTGAGTGTCTATAGGGTAGTTACTATATATACTGCAAGCCATACCATGGTCAGTTGACTCATATATAAACCACTCCCCCATTTCAGCTCCTTATAATACGCGTTAACGATATCACCCATTATCTTTTTGCCATCATAGAAAATTCATCCATCATGCGTTCGATCTCTTCTCTTCTCGTAGCTCTCGCGCTCTCCCCTATGTCAGCAATGGCAGCGCGTGAGGTATTTGCGCACTACATGGTACGCCTACTCAAACCAGTTTCAAATATCCGAATCATCAAGGCTAACCGATTTAGGTTGGCAATACCTACGGTCAAACCCTCGATGACTGGGCAAAAGACATCCAACTCGCCAAAGCCGCCTCCATTGATGGCTTTGCCCTTAATGCCGGTCCCACCGACTCTTACGGTGAAGAACAGCTTGATCTAGCCTACCAGGCTGCGGAGGCAAATAACTTCAAGTTATTCATCTCATTCGACATGGTGAAACACTTCAATCGTGCTTGTGACTTCTGAGCCATGCTAATGTAAATTAACTGATAGCTCTGTTGCGGAACATGGGATGTTTCCACAGTTGCGAAATTTATCAATGCCCACAAAGACAGCTCTGCGCAATTCAAGGTCGGCGGAAAGCCCATGGTTTCGACATTTGAGGGCACAAATTTTGTCTCCCAGTGGAGTGAGGTCGAGTCGAGTACTGGACAATTGTTTTTAGTTCCTGACTGGGCTTCAATGGGGCCACAGACTTTTGCTACCCATTTGGACGTCGTCGATGGTGCCTGTGAGTATATGCTATATCCCGTATTCGCATTCAGTATCCTGTGCTGATTCGTGGTGCATAGTTGTGTGGGATGCATGGCCGCTTGGTACAACCCCAGCCACAAAGACAACCGATTCCGATAATCAGTGGATTAGTGCGATCAATGGAAAGCCATACATGATGGCTGTGTCACCATGGTTTTATACCAGGCTTCCGCAGTACTCCAAAAACTGGAATTGGGACTCCGACACCCTCTGGTTTGACCGTTGGGAGTCTGTGATTGATGTTCTCCCGCAATACGTTGAGGTGAGATTTCCTACATGCATTCCCTATATTTAGCTGATTAACTCTAACCGTTAACTCCAAGATCATCACCTGGAACGACTACGGCGAATCCCACTACATTGGCCCCATACGCAGCCAAGGTATCGTCTCTGGTGCCGAGGTCTATGTCAATAACATGCCCCACGATGCCTGGCGCTTCATTCTACCGTACTACATCGCTGCCTACAAAGCCGGTACCCGCGATGTCACTGTCCCGACCGAGGGGCTATGTTTTGGTATCGGACCACGCCCAAGGCCGTCTGCGGTGATGGCTCCACAACCTGCGGTAACGCCGGTACTGGCGGATCGGCGGTCAATTGTGTTAGAGATAGCGTATTCGTTGTGACTGCAAGCAATACGGCAACAAGCGTGGAGGTGACAATCGGTGGTCAAGGGAAAACCTTCTCTGTGCCGAAGGGAGTCAAATTGGTAGAATTGCCGTTTTCAGGAAGGGTGGGCGATGTTGTGGTCAAAGTCAACGGAAAGACTGCAACAGGGCCGGCGAAAATTACAAACAGTTGCCCGTCCAGTGGGTATGTTAACTTTAACGCGGTGGTTGGATCTACTTCATAGACTTTCTATGCCTAATAAGTTTGAGTTAATGGGGTTAGACTTGTATTTTTGTATATCTTATTTCTGAAATATGTAACAGACATGTTATATGTAGTTATGTAGTTGATGGTTTCAATTAAGGCGTATTCTTGAATTCAACGTGTGTACGTACCTGCGTTCCACCACTGCGAAGGCCCCGGGCTGCTACTTCTTGGGCAATTTAATTAAATATGCTACTACATTTGGGTAGAACTGCGCTGTTATGTGTCATACTGGGAGTTACATTTAGTCCATCTGAATAAGAGCAAGTATGTAAATGGATGTACGGATAGTAATGGTGATAACTGACCCACTCTCAAGCTCACTGTAGATGTTAGCAGCCATAAGACATATATTAATGTGGCGATTACTATAAAGACAGATCTAGATGACGTCGATTAAAGGCGGCTGGCATGTGCATGGACACGTTAAAAGTTCGGCACAGATACAAGTGCTGATCTGACGGGTACGTGCATAGAGGTGCAAAACCTTATTACCTACATACATACATGTATGTAGCATGACTGCTAATGCACGCATATATACCACACAGAATGCGTACTTTGAACTCGCTAATTTATGCCCTTTGTATGCGTCCACTTTAAAGACATCGGGGAATTAAACCACACACGTTCACGTATAGTTAACCTAGATCCCTCCACATGCAATATGTAGCTCTAGTCATCTCTGAATGCTGAAGTACGCTGATTTGCATGTAGTCTGATCAGCAACCAATGGAATGGATGACCCCTACTTTCCTTACTTGCGCGACCGACGTATCCACTCCATCATACCTTACTTTCGTAATCGATCGCGAGTGATAGTCCATGAACTGAGACGAGTAATTTTGAAGTATGCCTACAAACTTCATATGAAGTCTCGGTGTGGAGCGCTCTCTATTCCTCGGACCCCTTTCTACAGTTACTTTATCTTCTAGAACCTATGCCCCCCTGCTCCCCACCCCAGCTCAGGCATTGAGTCCAGGCGTTCAATAATAATTGTTACCCCGGGCGCTAGGGGCGTAGGGTCAGATATAGAACTAGTCAGGCAGAAGACACTATGGCAGTTGATAGCTGGAAAGTTGCTCTCGTTTCAGCACCGAAAACCAGGCCGCTACATAAGTACATGTAGTCTTAGGAAAAGTGGGCGTGATTTGCGTTGCGGGCCGGGAGGTTGAAACAAGAGTACCCTTCCAGCTGTTATTGGGTTAGGGTTTCGGGCTGCATGTGTACATTAAAGCTGGATCGACATAGTTTAGACTTGTGTTATTGCCTAGAAGTAGGATGGTTTTCTCAGAAGGCTCGACCCCAAAACAGTGGGAATACATAGTATTAATCGGGCCTAACAAAGGTTTTCAAGAAACAAGGCGAAATAACCTTTTGGCTGACATCTTGTAGGTCAGAGATGAATTGATGAAACACTACCGGGGGGCTTGGTCCCTCGTTTTCAAGATTCTCTACGCAGAACTCAAATTAAACATAATACTATATAATCCACATGACTCAAATATCAAGCACCACCAAAACCAAAGATCCACTAACCTCAACATCCATTAAACTTCTCAAAAGCAATGTCATCCCGATACGCCCTAAATCTCAGACCTATGAGTCCAGAAAATCCTCAAAGACCTCCTGTTCGCCCATCAACAGGCACCTACATTTTCTGTGTCTTCTTTAGCATTTCTCTATGCTTTCTTCTGCCATTTCTCTTTTCTCGCGAGATCCGTTTCCACCGTGATGAGACCTTGTTCGCATTTGTATTCGCAGGAGTCTTCCTCATTTTGACGCTCCTCTCGGCAAAATACGATACGCTTGTGTCTTCTTCTTCGGACATTTCGGAGCGCCCCAAAGCGCCCCCCCCTGAAGGGAATGTGTATATTTGGTTGTTGTAATAATGTTTTGTGTCTTCTTTATATACCGTTATTTCGAACGGCGTTTTCAGGTCCGGATTGATTGGGCGTTTTTATATACTGGATTTGTTGTTTTTCTCCAAGAAGAGGCATGTCTTTGCCGATATTACTTTACTTACTGCTCTCCATCGAGCGATCGGGTTCGTGAGTCGAGGCAAGGCCGTATCGCTGATGTTCGCATATTTGCCTGTCTTCATTATTCAAGGTTTCATTACATATGAATAAACTCGTTTTAAATCATACATGTGATTAATTACTGGAGAGCACTTACAGTACCAAAAAAGGGCCTGTGATCCCTACCGTATCTATTCTGTCTGCCGTAAGATACCGTAGAGCTACCGTGTTTAATCGGATACCGTGTTTCGTACAATAATTATTGCGACAAAGACGTATCGCTCAGGATGCTTCTTGCTGGGAATATCGCTTTCAAAATAGTATCGCATCACTACTGTATTTTTTAAACGACGAGAGCAATATTGTAGCACTACTTCTACATATTAACTAATACGGGATTGGGCCTGTAGTGATCCGGTATTTGTGGGATTATTTGTGTGGAGTGGTGCTGATCTGGCACGCGCATAAAAACTAGGCATTTGATCTGCCATGGTTCTTTGCGAATACTAGTAGAGTATTGCCTACTGTTTATACCACCCATTTATTATTTAGGTATTGCTATAGCATTCTACCTAATACGGTAGTCTCGGCAAAACTGTAAAACGGCATGTACGTCGACAATTACTACATGCAGTTCCAAATCCATAATAACAATACCTAGATTACTTGAAATTGTTGATAACTAGGGTGACCATCGAGCGCCCTAGTATGTGAAAGGTCGTTAAAGGCTCGGTTTCCGAATTTCTTTGCGTTGTTTCGTGGCGTAAACATTGAGTCCATGATCTTGGATAGCGCTGTGCTTTATTTTCTCTTTTCAGTGAGTCATCTTGATTTTACTTCTTACGATCGGAAGACCCTGATACTTATAGTAGAACAAAGAAGCCACTGTTTCCAAACAGGGTACTGGCGACAACGTAGTATGGATTTATACCATTGACCCTGCGCGTAGGAGCTACCAAGACTAGGTGTGAAGCAAGATTTTCCGTGTTCCAAGATATGGAGATTGGTCTGTATATCCCAAATTGAAATTTGAAAGGTGATTCGAATGCAAAAATGCGGCCATATAACGGGTATATATCATCCTACCTACATGGGTATGAAAAGAAAACTCCAAAGCATTGCCCCAAACCCTTAAACTTACCAGAGTTATCGATTCATCATATATATTATAAGGCAAATTAATTTCGCTAAATGCACACAACACTTTTTCTTTCTCTGGCTCTGCTTGCGCAACCTCTCCTCATTCTCGCTGAGCCTATCCCTAGACCAAACCCTTTCTCTCGTCTCAACCAACTCCGGATCCCAGAATGCTATGCCAGTGAAACCGCTCCTCCCGTCCCCGGTCTCAAATCCATAATTGAGACGGTTAAAGAACATAGCACTGAGGATTGCGACTTCATTCCCTGGCCTGGAAAGGACGGCGACGGGACGAAGAATAGGTGCGGCTTCACGATCAGCAAAGACGGAGTCAAAGTAATGATTTGCGGGACCAGCACGGTGCCTGTGCGGATGAAATGCGAGTCAATATGGAAGGATCATTTGCGGCTTCTTCTAAACATATGCACCAGGCAGAATAATGCAGGGATTGATGTCGCTGGAGGCCGGACCGCACCACCAGCATCGAAGAAGGCACGGATTTATGCCGTCAAAGACGAATGATGTGTAAATAGATGCCATCGAAGAACGAAATTAGCTGGGCCTATTCTTCGTTTGGTTTATAGTATTTTATGCTGCAGTTTTGATAGATGTCCTTCTTCGCCTATACATGGTTACATGTAGTTAGCACTGGTAGCTGTAGTTTCCTTTAACTTTATATATACTTTATCAATGTCATTTAGAGCAAACCCACAACTAGTCCACACCTGAGCTTAAATTCAGCCCGAATGATCATGATTTTTCACCGCGTTCTACGTTAACCAGCTTGCTTGTACATACCAGCAAGGGTAGTATAATCTCTAGCATTAATAAATAATGTAGGTACATGTAATTGATGCTCGAGTGAGCGGGGCTGTAATACCTTGATCATTATGAGTGATTCCACATGACACTCCCCCTCAATTAACGCACAGTACCGCGCTTAAGCTTCTTTCCAATATTTCCGTGTGCTTCGGTGAGTGACATCTACTATATGCGCACCGTACAGGTGAGCAGGTATCGTATGAACTCATGGCGTCGAGCGGGATCAATTTTATCACTTCCTTCCTTTCACTCGAGATTTGCGGCCGCGGGATAATCTCAGATGTATCATTTATATATACATGTACTCTTCAGGTGGGGATTCTTCGGTACGCGGTATCCTTTTCGGGACTCTCGATCTCGTCTCCAATGGTCTCGCGGTCCATAATGTTGATGAATTAACTCGACACGTGTCGCCCGATCAGTTTGTGCCATATCGTTTGTGTCGTGTAAATGTGGCATCAGTCGAAACTTAATTCCTAGCAGGAGCATACCACCTCTCTCCTCACCCTGCTTCTTTCTGCACTCCTTCTTGCGCGAAAGCCTCGGCATCCTCATCAACCACAATCCATGTCCCTTTAGACACTCTGATGGCTATTGAACATATTTTCACCAATAGATTCGGTTTATTAAAATATATAGATAGAGGGTATCCATTAAAACCCCCGGAACCCCCGGCGCTTTGGTGGGATGATGACGTCCTCCGGCCGCGGTCGTATTATATATATTAACAGTCACGCTGCCGCATGCTCAAACATATGACAAAAAAAGAGTGGCATTAATATTGATTTACCATACAAAGGCTGTATACCGGTACATGTCTTTGCACTGGTTTCTTCAACAATTAAGGGGAGTCCATGAGTTAGGTCCAGTCTATCATTTATATACTCAACTTTTTCCCTTAAGGACCAACAAACTTGGTACATGTAAGGGCCTAGAGCCATGGTAATATTATCATAATCCTACTTTTTCAAGTTAACAAGCACAACCACTGGTGAATACATTTATCCACCATATTATGCTTTGAGATAAGATATCATAAAACACCTGCTCTTTGTACTGGAAAAGCCAGTTAACTCATTGACTTTCCCCCACCCCCCACCCCCCAACCCCCTCCTTTTTTTCTCCTGCGTCTTAACATATTTTTAAATTTTGGTGCAAAATAAATAATGGCTACCTCTAGGTACAATTGCCGAAAGTACCCGTGCCACTAGAGTCATGGCCAATATACGTGTATCTAACAGGGGGCTCATTATAAACACGTACATGAATGTACATCTACATGTAGTTACCGGGACAACTACATGTACATATATTCATCCACCAACTCTCATGCGCACCTTCACTTCTCTTATCTACATCTCCTCTCTGTAACATTTCTAACAGGCTTTATCAACTTCACAAGTATTTCTGCCTCATATTTACGAGATTATTCTATCAGACAAGAAAACTAGTAAGCCAGCCCCATCCCCCATCTTGTTGTTTGTTACTCACAAGCATTTAAATATATATTCTCCACAAGCTAACTTCCACTAAAGCCCATCATCAATGGCTCGCAAAATCCGCATCTCCACTCCTGAAGAGATGGCTCTCCTCCGCCAACGCGTTACTGAAACCCGTAGCTGCATCGAAAGGTTCACCAATCGTCTTGAAGCTATCACTCATGAGGAACTCCCTTCTATCACTACTCAATTTAATCAAACATCAGCGACCTTGAGAAAACAATCCAACGAGAATATGGCTCTAGACCTTATCAGCGAGCGTGAGAGACTTTCGACCGAGATGAAAGCCCTGAAGAAGGAGGAAACTAGATTAAATCATAGTCTCAAAGGATGCTTGGCTTTGAACAACATTCTGAGTTTAGAATTGGATATCTCTGAGGCTAATGTCGAGATGTCTGGTGGAAACGCTGGCACTGCCACAAGTAAACATCCTACTCGGAAGTGATTGATTCTTCGAAAATAAAGGCGTCGATAGATGCTCCCCGATGAGTACTCTTACACACGTTTTATTATCCAAGTAAGTCTGTCCACCTACTATGGAACTGCCGTCTTCTTGAAGCTCAGTTTCTAACGTAAACTTATTAGCTAAATTATAACACTGGAGTTGGGAAAGCCAAAATGAATGCAAGGTATTAGATATGTACGGAAGAAATTGCCACATTAAGGTTTTACATCAGTTATTTTTATACTTTATGTATCAGAATACGCATATTCAAGTATCAATTGTCTACTCTATAGTTTTAGGCGAAAATAAGATGTTATCTAAGTTCACACGTCACATTGAAAAAGCACGAATATATTTCTAGTAAAGTGAATCTCCTTTAAATACCTCACTCAAGAAATTCCTTACGTGATAGACCCACGTTAATGTTTCCCGGTTCTATATATGAAGTAGTTCAAACCGATTCTAAAGACAGTTTCCGCAGTGCGGTTCAACTTGATTACAGACATATAAACTTTAGCGTTGAGATAAATGGATCACTCTCAAACATGATCATGACCAGGATTAACGCTTTTGAACTTGGTCCTTGCAGGGGCCCAAACAGGTGATCAGGAAAACTAGCCCTTATCCGGCCATTTTTCAAGAGTTCTAGGGCCAATATATTAATATGAATATCATCGGTCCCCTCAAGATCATATACATACCCTGAACGAAGTAAAGGGTTATGGGTGTATTGATCTTAGAGCTTATAACTACATCGCGCTCTAATTGGCTCCATGATCTATCCAGATTATCAACCATAACCCATGTTAACATAATATCAATATTCTAAATAGTAGATTTGAGACTGTGTAGCTCATGCATGCTCTCCTTACGAGAGTGGAGAAAACAAGAATTTCCCCAGCGATGCGGGTTCCTGACTGCAAGATAGGAGGCGGTTATCTACATGTAGAAACCAGTCAATCAGGGTCTTCATTCAAGGCTTACGACTGCTCCTGTGGGATAGGGTCAGCGTCCAGTGACGAGGTTTCTAGCAGCAACAGATTAACCTCAAACACTGGCGAAGCAAGATTGGATTGGTTGATTGGTTAATTATGTCGCCTTTGGTGGCAAGATTGATTGTTGGTTAATCCAATATTAAGCACATATATGCTTATTAGTGGTCAGTTCAGTCCCGCAGTTCAGTTCAATTCGATATCAATGAAAACCACTTCTGGATTACTTACTTGAGCTACACTCTCTAGAATAAATACTGCTTACTCCATTTAAATCTCCTTCGCGATATCTCCTCTCTTTGAGATTGGTAAGGCTAGGTTTAATGCAAATTCAACCTGTAGCAGATGAAACCCTAACCTCCATAGACCCTGCCAAGCTGAGAGGCTAAACATTCCCACCAGGGCCACACCCGGCCCCTTCCAGCCATGTTTCATTTTTCGTATGGGGCCCTTAAGATCCTTCTTAAGACCTAGATGTACACTCACGTAAGCGTAAGGCAATACTTGGGTATCTCGCTGTATGTATGTCCATGTCGGTGGGTGTCACGTACGCCCAAGGCCTGAGATGACATGGCGCCTGGGTAGAGTGCGCTTGTCATCGAGATTTGAGGAGTCTCCGTCAACTGGAATAGGTTCCCAATAACTCATATATTGTAGACTTGGAGGCTTAGTGCTGAAACCCAATGGAGTGGTTAACGTTTTAGAGATGACCACGGTACAGGGCGGAAAATATTAAGGCAAACAGGGTCCATGGATCCAGGATAGACCCTGGCCCGGTTTCCAAGATCAAGGGATAACAACCACCGTCCTGCGATTTGTGGATATCTTTGCCCAGGTGTGAATATTTTGAAGATAGATTTGGAATATCCAGACGATAACTGGATAGAAACGATACCTAGGCAAAGGCTCGCATGTGAGTTGCGGTTGTGCTGGCGGTTGCAGTTGTGGTTGTGCTGGTGGCAGGGCTGTGCCACACTCATGCTCAGCTGTACCATTGACACCGAACCCACCAATCTCCGGTAGGCATATTCCCACATACTGATTCGGCGAACCACACCGAGTGGGCGGTGTTTATTCTTATCCGATGCCGGCCGGCGAATAATACATTATCACAGGGCTATTTTGAGTGAAGAATATTTTCTATATCTATGGGTGGAGGGATTCAATTTTTTCAGGATGACCTTTTGCACACTGTTTGTTTGTAAAGTGCAGGCATAATACAACAGACGTACAGAAATAACCCACAACTTCGCGCACGCAGATTACGAAAGATACACGAGAGAGAACCTATATTACACAGACGAGTAAGTGCGCCCACGATATTTTTATCGATAACATGCAGAACGTAAGCTTAACTAAAGTCAGGATTCTAGTGTTAAAATCTCGGCCATATAACAATAACGAATAAAAAACGAAATCAACAACCTTCGCAACTTATAGGAACCTTCGAAGAGATTGATTTTGTGCATCGGATATAGGCAGCCATTAGCTCGATACCCTTACCACTTGTCCATCATGAATCACAGCCTCTCACTCGCTTCTCGCCAGGATACCGGCACAACCCGCTCTTCACATAAGAGACGTCATTCACTTTCCCGGTCCTTAGCAAAGGGAGGCCGTAGAATGTCTGGTTGGGTAGCTAAAGTATATTCCAGCAGTCCACGTCGTCTGCCTCCTCCAACCCCACTACCGCCTCTCCCGTCCAGGTATCCACAAAACCCTAGATTGAGCATACTTTCGTTTTCAACTCCAGCTTTTGGTGTGCACATTTTGCCTACACCTCCTCCATCACCACCAGTATCCGTAAACTCCTTAGAGACGGAATTTACAAAGTTTGAAATGGATAAAGGCAGAAAAACAAATGGTGCAGGTGACATGAATGAAAATTCATACGTGCCCGCAAGGGTGGATCTCATTCCAAGCATGATTTCTGCTGCATCAGAGCCACTTGCAAAGCCTTCAGGCCGGTTTGCAGGTCTGCAGTCACCTACATTGTTTCCATCTTTTAGTTTCTCTCAAACTTCACCAAAATCACATACGGTAAGCAATTCCCTGTTCCCAGGTACCATAGAATCTGACATCAAACATGTAATAAAGGAAAAACCAGCTTTTTTACCAACCCCACCTGAGTCACATGCTGGCTCTAGAGGTTCTACCCCACCAATGCTACCTCAGGAATTAGGGGGGCTCTCTCAAACCCCTAGTCCTCCACGTCCCAATACGGCACAAACTACAACCCCATCCTCCATCCCAGCATCTGACAGCCAAAATTTCCCTCGAACGCCCAGACGTTCTGCATCTGTCAATCTTGTTGATTCCTTTACTCTTATCGGCCGTCGGCGCCGTGCTGCCAACCCCGCCGTCCCCACAATCCCCCCTCTCACACTTACCATTTCACCGGCCATTACCACTACCCCTCCATCGAAGCCAAACGTTTTAAGGCGACGGTCTACTACATCTCCTATTGCCCCACCTGTTCCACCAAGACATCCAAGGGGTTTGGAAATTCCTATCACGGCTCAGAAGGTCACTGTTCCACACGTACTACCAGAGCTGCGTTTCTCGACGTCTCCGCTCATGCCATCACCTCTCAATATTACAGCAGCGTCCTCTCCTCTCAGAAGGGGAGGGTTGAGATCTCCCGGCTCACCAGTTAGAACAGGTGCAGTCAGAAGTTTGAAGATGGAAAGGAGAAGCTTACTTCTGCAGCCCTCTGAGCAGGAGAACAGGGTGTTCACTAGAGCAAACACTGAGAGGCTTCAATTGCAATCAGAGGAGGACGAGGAATCAAGTGCAGATGAACTACAGAGCAATTTTGCTCTGAAAGATATGGATCAAAACTTGGAGAGTTGGGATAGCTTTCCCGGAGTTCATGCAAGTGTGGAGCCTCCGTCTCCTACCTCTCCAGAAAGGAACTTTCCCACACGTTCATCTTCACTTTTATCTAGTCCTGTGACCCCAGATAGATTTGAAAGACCTGACGTACCGCCACATCTTCATATGGCTCGTGCTGCCCCAAGACAGGCAGTCCTAGTGCACATTGGGCGCGGTGTGATTGGGGTTCTCAAATCATCTCCTGATAGTGACCATGAAAGTCCTCAAGTGGCCACCGATTCACAATCTGTCATCTCAACCTGGACGATTGATGTTGAGGCTGCTTTTTCGAGCATTAGTGGCTTAGGCACCGGTGGTATTTGGCGCAAGATTGGTGTCTATGTAAGTTCTTGGGTTCTCCCTTCTCGATCCCTGCTTGAATCAAAGATACTAATATGAGTTCAGCTTGAGCCGTGGGATCTCGCCCGTCTTCTCAGGGTTTCAAAACGTGTCAAGAAATCCATTGAGCCGCTACTTTATGAGACAATTTGGCTGCGTCCCAACCCTCCACATGGATACTCCTTCTCATATTTAAGCCGCCTGTTGAAGTCCTTGAACAACAAGGCGAATAAACCAAAACTGCAGAAATGGACAAAGAATATTCGTCTTGGGATGGGCTTTGAAGAAAACCAAACTAGGCTGATGGATAACGGCCACTTTCTCCCGGAAGAAGCTATTCTTGGTGAAAATGGAAAGGTGACGATTAGTAGAAATCGTGTTAGTGAACTCATCGAAGATGAAGGTCTCGATAGTGACGGTGGGTTCAACGGAATCAACAGTTTCCTCGGCGATATCTTAGAGAGTACCCCGGGTCTGAAGACATTCTCCCTGGATTCCCCTGTCCCGATGAATAATGAGTCTCTCTTGGCTCTGGGTGGGATTAAATCCGTCACCACCATGAAGCTAAATCTCTCGCAACCAATGAGGAAGAAACGTCAACAACAGGGATCCAATACCCCCGATTGGGTAGCTTTGCCAAAGTACCGCCCAAGCATCCTCTTGCTCTGCAATCTCCCGCTTGTGGAGCTACGATTAAACAATCTTCCCACCAGAGGTGGAACATATTGGTTACAAGTCTGGAGTACCATTATATCCATGTCTGATACCCTCCGTATCCTTGAGCTTGCAATGCCACATATTGATCAAAAGCGTTATGGTCAATTATTTGACTCCTACCACCGTGTTTCCAACCCCCCTAATTCGGCAGAGGATATCAAGACTCCTCCGATCCTCGACTGGAAGGTCTATAAACAAGCAATGTCGCCGTTAATGCAAGATCGCAAAAAGAAGTTGAAATTACACACTCTTCAGCTTACCGGCTTTATAGTTGATACAGAGTTCATCAGCAATGAGATTGAGCCCGGCTGTCTTAAAACACTCGAACTCATAGGTTGTATGGAACATAGCAAGTTCAAATTCACCAAGGAGTGCTGGAAGGGCCTTGAGGTGTTCAGGTCCAGTGGACTAGGGTTCATTGAAGTTACCATTAATGCACTCTTCACCATCCCCGGTGGGAACAAGAAGGAGCTTACTTTCCTGACTGACACCCGTGAGCGCTGTGAGCCTATTCCTCTGGGCAAGTTGCGTACAGTCGTTCTAAACGCCTTTCCGTTTTATAGCCACAAGATCGAGAAACTAGGCTTGAAGGAACAGTGGGTCCTCAACACCGATGATCTCAACAAGATATTCGCAGATGTACACAACGGCGGAGAAGGCTTTACAGAGCTTGGCCTTGCCCTGATTAATACCCCTGTTGCCTGGCGAATCTTCCTCAATGGCCTTAGACGCTGCAAGAATATCCGCAGAGTCCAGGTACTCAATGGCTTCTTCCATGACGAAAACAGCGGCTACAGAGGAAACGTCCAAGACGGCGGCCCCAGAAGACGTGTTTATGACGACGCCTTGATCATCGCGAAGAACTTCTTCGAGGCACATGCAGAAGGACTCCCGATCCAGCTAGATGGTATCATCATTGCGGTCAGTCAGTGTGCTTGGAGAATTGAGCGTATGGGAGGGAAGTGGGGAATTGTTCGTATTCGTGGGCTCTTGAAGAGATCTGCGGTTGGGTGTGAGGAGCTTCAATTTGTGTAGGTGGAGGCTTCACATCAAGTTTTTTTTTTCTTTTTTCTTTTCTTTTTTCTTTTCTTTTCTTTTTCTTTTTTTTCTCTTCTCATTTCCAAGCTACTCAAGCTTCTCATTTCCAAGCTACTCAAGTAAACACCACAATCTTTCTGGGGAAATGGCTATATTTTTCTTCCTTGCTAGCCTTTTATGTATGTTTTTGTTTCATTTAGAATGGCGCATGGGTTTTATAGGGGTTCATATGGGGGCATATGCGGTGTTTTCTTTACAGGTGTTGGTCACCTTTTTTCTTTTGTGCATTTTTTTTTTAGATTTAGCGGGTGCTCCATAGGTATAGCCTATTACTTCTCTTGGAAGAAGTATATCTGTCTGTATTATCAGCAGCGCCAAGAGTGGCACATTTCTAGCTTGCTATAATTTGATTCGCACTGATGTCTTTGATATCAAATATATAAACCGATTAAATTTCTTCTCGAGGCCACAATCTTGAACCCAGACAGACCCGCGCGAAAACCTAAATGGCACACGTGTACACGCTTAAGCGCAATATGTAACTACTCAACAACGCTCTATCACCTAGGAAAATCATGCAATTAATGAATTAAACAAGAAAAAAAGAAGAAAAAAAAAGAGCGTTAACTACATGTATATACCTACAACAAAATTGCATGTCTTCATCAATCACCCAAGTCGATCTTCAAGTACGTATATCATTGAACCTGAGCAACGGCCAACCTGATTAGCGCCTTATGAAGTTGGCTTGAAGACGGGCTAACTGACTACATACATGTATCTTCAAGCAATATACCAATATACCTAGAAGTACTCCATTGCTTTACACCTCTATCCATCCCCAAAGATTCGCTCTCAGGGCTGTTTCATATCTAATTAATTCCCGTCTCAACAGGGACGTGGAAACTGCTGCCCATCAAGGCCGAGGAAGAATCCGCCCACATCAAGATCAAGGAGGGAGCAGCCCGTCTGAAAGCAGAACAAGAAGCCGAACCCGCTCGTATCAAGGCCGAAGAAGAGGCAGCTCGTATCAAGACAGCTCGTATCATGGCCGAGGCCCGAGGAAGGGGAATCCGCCCGTATCAACAACAGGGAGGAAGCTGCCCGTATCAAGGCTGAAGAGGAGGAAGCCGCGCCATATCTTGTGTTCAAAAATGTATGAAATCATAGAATTCAGGGTTAGGGCCGCCCAGATGGATCTTTGGTTGATAGGTATACCCATCCTATTGATGGTATCTAACTAACTATCGATGAAAGGAGTTTAGGAGCTAGATTTTCAATCTGGACCAGAACGCTTCACCATGGCGACTCGCGGCTTTCCGCCCGTTCTGTCCACCATAAATCACATTACTCCGTTCCACATTATTGGGGTTTGGATACCTGAAAGGCCGCTTACTAAATTTTATTGCACCAAATTCCACCTAAATTCCCACGGAGTCGTCCAATGACGTCATGGTTCTTCGAGAGCCAATGATCGCGGGTCATTAATTAAGGTCGGTTAGGGTTAGGTTTTCGCGTTACCTTCTCTGCCAGTGAGCTGCCCGACTTTCAAGCCCTCATCTCATATCGATTCTCCATACTGGGCGAATATTAACAGAGACAGCAGACAGTCTAATTACATACATACATCCATGTAATCATACTCCATATTACCAGGTTCTCCGCCATGCATCAATCTGATTACTTGGTGTAGAGCATTATTAGAGGCTTATATAATCACCAGATTGGCGTCGTGGAATAATTAATTACTATCTAGATAACTATCACGCCTTTCTCTGTACGTATGACTGGCCACTCTGTAGCACATCGGACTCTATCACCTTTCCGACGCACTGGCAGAGATAGCAAACATCCTCAAAATAACCCACATATATACTCGCATGTATGGCTATACTGCGCCACGCGGCACAGCCTCCCTCACTCACTGAATGAAATAATGACATACCTACAATACAGAAGTTGATATAAAACCACCAATACAGAATTCAACACGGATTCCTAGTGTCACTGGTTATTCTCTCTGTTTCCCGCTTCTGAACGAAAAAAATGCCAAATCCAATGAAAACCAGCGGTTTCACAAAAGTTGTCTACACCTCCGGCGCATCGCCGATGGAGGAGGATAAGGCGGTGATTAAGGACTATACGTTTGAGTGGGACGGTATGTTTTCAATCCGCCAATTTGTCCCCGCTTTCTGTTTTATGAATATGGACGTAGGACTGACGAGACCCCGCGGTTTGTTTTGTCCAATGAGGTAGAGAAGGGAGTAGTAAAGAGGCTGGTGGTGTTTTATAGACATTTCCAGGACGCGGCGGTGCTGAGTGCGTTTTTTAAGGAAGAATCAGAGGTACTAACACATATATTTACGACCCCATACAATTGATTTTCAGAAACTGACACCTCCCACTAGAAACTCCAAAAAGGCGAATCCGCTCCCGCCCCCACAATCCGCAAAATGTCCGTTCCCCCCCCCCAATATCCAACCCCACCCCGAAAAATCCCGCCATTGACTCGACCCTAACACAATATCTGTTGTACCCACAGGCTAGTAGACCGTCAATGGGCCGTTGAAGCCGCCAAAACCGCCTTCTTCGACGGATTTGGCGTCTACAACCTCATTACCTGCATCACGGGCAAGCGCGGTCCCACGCTGCGGCGCAAAGACTCCAACGAAGTGACCCAACGGCGGAAGCTACACACCATCGACTCGCGCCTCGACGTCAGCGCGAACTGTTCAAACTTCGTGTGTTCGCAGGACAGCGGGGGCTTTGCCGGCGACCTGTATGCCGTTTTTGATACGTTTGTACTGGACGACCGCGTGCCGACAATTTCAGTGAGGAGGCCGGTGGGGAAGCGTATGGTGACACTGGATTCATACGGGGAAGGCGAAAGGAAGGACCAGACAAAGGGGTCAGAACGGGAGCGGACTGAGTGGGAGGAGACGGAGTTAGGGGTTTATAAGACGTTTGCGGAGGAGCTGGTGGCGAGTGCGCCGTCGGTGAAGGACGTGTTGCGGCAGACCAAGTCGTTCTGGATCCCGTACTCGATATCGGAAGATAGTCGGATTGCAAAGACGATAGTACTGTTTACGACGGATGTGGAGCGGTCGTGGCAGACGTTCGATGTGTCGACGGACGATGAGGTGAAGAACTTCGTAGGTATTCAGAATAAGCAGCAGGCGTTTGATTTTGTGGGCGGGCAGATGCTATTTAGGTTTTTGAGTAATGAGATAGCATCGAAGTGGGCAGAGGTAATCTCGGCGTGTGAAGAGCATGTTATATCGCTAGTACGTTATATCTTCCTACATTACCAGCTAAGTATATCGAGCTAAAGAAGGCGGGGATGTAGAAAGCTCGAGTGATTGCGGAGACCACCGCAGAACTCGCCCAGAAGATTTGGGAAGGAGAGGTCTTTTGGAAATATCTGGACCAGACAATCGACAAACAGATTGAAGTCCTGGATATGTTTTGTAGTGAGCTGCAGGCTGGGGAGGGAAGGAATTCACTCATCAATTTGGAGGATGAGGATATGAGATGGATACGAGATCAGTTTCTGAGATTGAAGCGACAGATTGTGCAGAACTTGGTTGAGCCGACGCATACGAATTTGCAAATGGTGAGCGCGGGATGGCACTTTGTGGGTGCATGTATTTACTGATCATTTACGTGGCGGGTAGCTTTTTACTATTGCGTCTCTTCGAGAGGCGCAAACGGCAAATGCATATGGAGCATCGATGAACCGTCTCAGCTGGGTAACAGTAAGTGAAAACACCCCCAAGGTCCGAATTCTTATACCAGTGGTACTAATGCTCATATCCGTCCTAGTTCATATTTCTACCTCTCACCTTCCTAACGGTACGCCTAGTTAATCCTACTCACGAACGAAAACTCCAACTAACACATATATAACGCAGGGTGTTTTTGGAATGAATGTCGACACCTTCAACAACCACCCATCAATCGTATGGTACATAGTTGGGATAATTCCCCTCCTAATCCTCGTGTTTTTGGCGTGGTTGCTTATTCGACGATTCCTGCTGGTTGATCAAAACCAAAGCAAAAACCGTGCAATATTCCAACCATGGCGCATCATTCGACGAGACGGAAGCTTCGCTTAAGCTTGTGGTTGATAGGACGCTCAGGAAACAGGGGGTTGCATGTAGAGTGATATTTTATGATCCTTCGGTGTAACAATATTCATATCGTATAGCGTTGAGGAGTTCGTTTGATTTAACGATCTGTGATAAATAATGCGCTCAAAGGATTCAGAACAAGCCCAACTATCGTCACACCCGTCAGCTGTTAACTATCCGACGGGCGTTTCTCAATTAATTGCACCGGCCCAGGGCAGTATTTAGGTTGACCATGCCCAGCCAAGACACCAGCACGCTTGGGGTTAACGGAGATAACCAAACCACCGATAAGATGTGCGGGCAGATTCTCGCCGACCACCCTACTAGCAGTGTGGAGATAGTACAAAATCCGGCTCCCGCCTTTTCCAGGGGAGACACATATTTCAAGATCTGATCGTCAGTTAGGTAGATACGTAGGTAGCCTCTTACGTAGTTGTGATTGTGAAGGGGAAAAAAAAGGGCGAGACCTCTCTGGAATACTTAAACCGCGACCCTTCTCATGAGCTTCAAATCCTCAAATCCAACTCTTTCATCTCCAATCTTCATAAGCACTGAATAGTAACTTAAACAAAGAGCCCAGACACCCTCTCCTCGCTTCATACCCATAAATTCCCAATATCTAATCATCACAAAATGTCAAACATCACAGAAATATTTCTCCAAAGCCTCCCCCTCCCATATCCCTCCTACCCGTTCGACGACAAGACCGTCATCGTCACCGGCTCCAACACTGGCCTCGGCCGCGAAGCCGCCCGCCACTTTGTCCGCCTCGGCGCCGCCCGCGTCATCCTCGCCGTGCGCAACCTCGAAAAAGGCGAATCCGCCAAGTCCTTCATCGTCTCCACCACCGACTGCAACCCCGCCGCCATCGAGGTCTGGAAACTCGACATGAGCTCCTTCGCGGGCACGAACGAGTTCATCGAGCGGGCGCTAGCGCTCCCGAAACTAGACGTCGTGGTGCTGAATGCGGCCATCGCAACCAATGGTTGGCGAGTGACGGAGGACGGGTGGGAGTCGACGCTGCAGGTGAATGTGCTTTCGACGGCGCTGCTAGCGCTGCGACTATTGCCGAAGATGGTGCGGTCGGGGAGGGAGAACCCGGGGTGGAGGCCGCACCTGGTGATTGTTGCGTCGGAGGTGCATCGGTGGGGGTCTGTGGCGGCGCAGTATAACACCTGGCCCACGCAGGCTGAGAAGGGCATCTTGGCCCATATCAATGATAGAGCAAAGACGGAGAAAGATATGGGGGCGCGGTATCCGCTGTCGAAGCTGCTGGATGTTTATCTAACGAGGGAGATTGCGAAGATCACGCCGGTGAATGAGGGCGGGAAGCCGGCGGTAGTGGTGAATACGTTGAATCCGGGGTTTTGCTATTCGGAGCTGGCGAGGGAGCTGGGGTTGGGAATGAGGGTGTTGCAGATGTTCTTTGCGAGGCCGACGGAGAAGGGGAGTAGGACGTTGGTGGATGCAGCGTGTAAGGGGCCGAGGAGCCATGGAGGCTACTTGAGTAACTGTGAGATTGAGACGTAAGTTGTTTGTCTGTTTCGTTATGTGATTGCAATTGTGAAAGCGGGTTGTGCTAATATAATTGTTGCAATATAGGCCAGCGGATTGGGTGACGAGTGAGAATGGACAGGCGACGCAGAAGAGGTTCTGGAACGAGGTTCTGGATGTCCTAGAGCCAGTGTCGCCGGGGTTGAAGAAGTCAGTTCAAGAGCTGAAGTAGTAGGAGAGGATGAGGGGAGGAGGAGGGGGAGGAGACGTTGGCTTTGTAATAGCTCATAATTTTAAAGTTATATCGGCACGTACAATACAGATGCTCACTTCTGCTTTATGCATGTCAGACTTTAGCATCGCGCATCACATGACCAGCACTATAGTTACTCTGGATCCCAATGTACCTGCAGCCAATAAAACTCCGATTCGGAGATCTGCATCTGGGATATTGGAGACTGGAATGGAGACTAGTCCCACATTGTTAAACCAGAGTATTTTCTCATCTGATTGATAAACCCGCCAAAGGTGACCGCCAAGCCTCGGGTGAACACCAGAAGATTTGAATGGTTTGAAGATCAAGATAATTATATATCTCCAATGGATGCTATGTGGAGAGATAATAGGCCTACGGAAGGTGTCCTGGGTAATTTAATGCCACGTTGAGATATGTTGTGCTGAAGAAATACCAAGGCCGGCGCTCGACCGGGACAATATCATCCCGCCAGACTGCTAACGACCTCCATGAAGAGTGGAGGTTTGAGCTCTGCTCAAATTCTGTCGTTTGAAAGAGACATAGCTAACGGTGAATGTCAGCCTATAATTCGAATGTGTGGAGGAAACAAACGTCAGTTGTGAGGACGATATAAAGTGCTCGAGTCTGGAATAAGCTTTGGGTGGTACGTACCGAGTCTTCATGAAAGCCGCGCTCAGTGTAATGCGAATGACTTGAGGAACCCTTCTATCCATCAAGATATACCAGCTAGTCTGGTATATCTGTTTCACTTGTACGTGCCGAGTGCCCTCTCTAGCTATGAATACAGTGTTGCTAATATGTATTGAAATCGGTAGTCTCGTGATCTATCCTTACACTTCATTTACAAACATGTACTCAAAAGTTCAGATAACTCGTGAGCTTAACTACGCAAACCCGCAAAAACCTTTACCTCCCCTAATCCTATAGCAAGCACTAACACCGGTGCTCAATGCAAAGCAGCCCCGAACACCCCTCACATACTTCCAGTGGACTAGCATCAGGACGGACTGGAGCCCTATCTCCCATTGAGCCCAAATCCCGCCCGAGACATTGAGCGGCCGAGTGTCGCTCCATCACCAAGCACTTGCCACCATCGTCCCGCAAAGGAAACAAAAGGATTCTTGGTATCTTGAACCACTTCCCCTTTGTCCATCAAACTCAATTCGTTGGAGGTGTACAACTTATGAAATTGGTGTGTTTAGATACGGATAAGGTCCTAGGCTCTCCATTCATCTATCTCGAGCTTTCTCCTGCTTATATTCCTACAGGGCAGCGATGTTGCATTTAAATTTTCCGGCCGTCAAACATTGTTTCTTTTTCTCTCCAGTCGAGCGGGCCCCACCACTTGACATGTCCCAGGTTTGTATCCAAGGTACACGATTAGTGGTTTGGCTGCAGGAGACTCCTTGTGCTGTCACGTTACTTTGATTCGGACACGCCACATATATACTACCCCGCCTCCGCCTCCCGCCCCGAAGGTCGGAATTACTAGTCGGCAACGACACTATCAGCTACCATTTATTGACAGAATTAAAATTAAGCTTTGAATGCTAATAAGCATCTTACAGATGCGTTTCTTTTTGTATGCCGTTAATCCGAAAAGACTCGCAACTAAGGTCCGTTCCCTACAGTCACATGGGAGCAACAACCACCCCCTCACCCATCTCTCCAGCATTCTCAAAGCCTGAAAATAACCTCCTCTGAAATTTCTATTATGAGAAAATCGTTTTGGCCGCGCGTCTTGGAAATGACTTTTCGCCGTTGCTCATGAGGTATCACTCGGAATCTCATTCTGTCGGTCGCCAACACACAAATCGTCTATGGTGCGAGAGTGCTTAAAGGGCAACACCGCCAACCCTGTTCACACCAGTTCGGTAAGATAGCCCTTACAGTCATAGAGTCGAGTTCAAGGTGAGGCTCATCAATGTTTGCTCCTCGGAGCCAATAAAGAATTAGCTGAAGTTGTGTACGTACAGGGTTGTCAAGGATTCCCTCTACTCCTTCTCGCACCATAGCTATCCCACTTACGAGTAATAAGGCTAGGTGTGAGAAAGAGCGTCGAAGGCAATAGCTTTAATTACCTCTTCGCCTTTACATGCGGGTAACAGATTGTTTATGGAATACGTACGTATACGCACATAGATTCTGAAGCTTCCTACGTTTCGAAGAAGATTCGGCGGTAATATCTATGAGCCGCGCGCTGATGACAATAGCATCAAGAAGAAAGAAGAAACTTGTGCCTACAGCATTGGGTAGCTTAACTTGGGCTGAGGCTGTGGCTAGAGAATATTTTACAGGACATAAGCGCCAGAGTTGGCGCCTGTGTTTCTCAAACCGAGTGATTATCTATGGATCCTGTCACAGGTACCAGAATTGGGTCCAATCTTACTGCAGGTCAAGGAAAGACAGAACTCGATCGATACTTTACGAAGATAAGCTTGACGTTGTCAGTCTCAGTCTTTCCTCGTCGGCAGTTCTACAGGAAGGCTCGATCAAACCTCAGGAAGCGGCTCACATGTAGGTACAGCGAACATCATCATCATCATCGCTTCAACCTTAGATAACCAACTTCAGCCTTAGATATCCAAGACAGCAACTACTCCACTCCCCCTCCAATCCCAGGTACCCCAAGATCACAATCGCGACATTCGCTTCCTCACGTTCAATCACTCGCTTCCAACACGGCTCATCCCGCATGGTTTCCCACCGCTTTAGGAACACCAGTTTCCGATCACTCCATTGACGACACCACCTGGCTTTTTCTGGAACCCCCGACAACACATTGTCGATGTCTCAGTTCAGCTACGCCGCATCCGGTACTCGTACCGACGGGGTTAGGGCTGCATGACGACCCCTCCATGCCGCTTTGGGAAACTGAGACAGCCCTTGAGGGGTTTGCGATAAGCCTTACTTGTACCCTACATACACACAGACAGACAGCGGAAGTATCTGTATCGTGGAGTATCGTTCCTGCAAATAGTGTTCGCCAGAATATGTTGCTCTGCCAGCCCTGCCAGCCCGCGCAGAGACAGGAAAAATTTTCATTGTCCTCAGTGGGAAAAAGTTTGTCGGCTCGGGTTCATGTAGGTAGAGTACACATATGAACACGGATTGACGCGAGATCTGATTTGTGGGCTCTTGAAGCCGTCTTCTGGGGAGGGTTGTTCTTTGGAGATGCGTTGTAAGTAGTGTTGACGCGTGTTTTCGTTAATACATATTCTCGGGAAGTGAATGAATCCTCGGCGTCTAGATGAGGTTTAGAGTACCGATAACCCTAACCCTACTGTGGGTAATGGCAAATTGTGCCGGATCCGAGTGCTAGGTTGTGATTGAAACAAACAACTGCGTGGGGGTAAATAAACAAACACCTGACATTGCCTGTAGAGCCGACGGAGGATCGGATGGGTTTTCTTCCCGGAGTCGTCAGCATTTGACTTCACCGGTGATTATACAGTGATTGCAATCTCCCCGCCATCTATTCACAACCAACGAAGTGTTTTCCGATATATGGTATCACGATCGAAGCAGTAGCTAGCTAGCCAGCGAGAAATGTTTCACTCATTAAATTTCCATTACGAGATACCACATCTCCATGTAAATTATCAGGATCCTCACAGGCGCTCCCACTACATTGATTGTAGCTAGCTGTCTACTGTAGTAGCGTCGTGGGAGGTCAGAATAACCTAATACCCAACCGAAGGTCCCGCTCGCTAGCTACCTCGGATTTGCCCGGTCTCGGCTATTCGGGGTCGGCATGGCTGGCCATGGTCAACGTCAGCTCTCAGAGACCGGGGGTTGGGGGGGGGGGGGGGTTGCGGGTGAGACATGTCGGCGGTGGCTGCTCCGTGTGTTGCATAACTAGGTACATGTCAGTCCGGTTTTTATGCATACATGTACTAGGTAGGCTTTATATGTAACCAGCTAGCTGGCCATACAGCTACTCTACATAGTACCTACATACTCTACTGAAAACTACGGCTGCTGGGTGGACAGTTAGGCGAAAGACTAATTGGCGGTGTGGCATGTGAAGCCGATTGACGGGAATGAGGGTTTGGAATCTAGATATTGGATTGTAATGTTTCAGTACATACATGTACTCTAGATACAGTAATGGCTTTAAAATTTCCCTAGCTAGTACAGTCGCAACTCGATATGCCAAGTTGCCAAGAACAAAGAAATGCGGGATAACAAATTGGTCTTGCAGTAAGAAAAGTAATACCCCTACACAGAGAATCCCATACAGGGCAGCATTGAGTTCTGGCATACCGAGTTGCGACTGTAGTTTTTTTTCTCGAATTCCTAGATTCTAATTAGCACCTATCTAGCTGGCAGGATCCAGGCGCCCTGATTGGCTAGAGGGCTCTGTGTCAGTTATATAGGCGGCGTCTATAGGGCCGTAATATTTCATTTATGATGATGTGGTACAATGCAATCGTGTTAACCAATTAACCGTGGCCGCGGGGGATGTGGTGATAGATTGCAGGATTGGCGCGTGGGTACTGGTGATCGATCGTGGTGGTGTTGTTGGAGGTACTTTGTGCGAATGTACTCTACCTACCGGCTTGTAGGGCGTGTGTATCTGGATCTGGTAGGTAATGGATATCACAAACTCTGCCCGCGGGGGGGATGGTTTTTTGTCTCTGGCTGGATAAGGGAGGAGAGCGCTAGCTCCATGTAGACAATCCCAATTAATCGCATCTCACCTCCAGGTGCGCCATTGATCCTGCATTCTCTACGAACCCAGGTTCGTGCTCTCAGGCCTCTAGCTCTCTCTATCGGGTTTCTACCTAGGTACTTTACCTACCGAGCCTACCATAGCATACCGGGGTTCTTCATACCTGCTCATAATATTCCCAGGTCATGAAGGGAAAAAGTGCAGTTCTGAGACTGGGATCAATAACCGCCCAAGACAAATCAGCTCCAAGGTTCCTCCCATCGGCCCCGAGTATGTGGACTTGCGAGAGAGATGGAGGTAATGAGAGGGTTTAACATGTTCATTGTGCAATTTTGTTTTTCGGACATTGGATGGAATCGTTTGGTTTAATGAGTTCTCAAGCTTTTGGATCTAGACTGGGGATGGATGGAGATGGATGGAGATGGAGATGTATGGGATGGATGGGCCCGTAGTGCTAGCTAGTAGAGCAGTGGTAGTGGGTTAGGGTTCATGAATAACCCGCATTGGGAACTGTGCTACTAGAGTAGCTAGCTCGCCGCAGACGTGCAGTGGAAACTTTATTTGAGCCTCTCTACTAGAAGCACAGTGACCAGAAGGGGGGTGAATCCAATAGAGATCGATCTCGGATCCCACACGGCTAGCGAACGAATCCATCCACCAACCAACCAACCAACGTCAGCAGTGAGATTTTTTTTGTTTCCTCGGCTTCTAATGTACACAAGCATTGTAAGCTCCCCGGTCCCCCCTTTTGCGGAAGTACGGCTAGATATCGACAATAGCTAGCTAGGCGTCACGGTGTTTTGCGAGGCGATTGACACAGTGGAAAACAAAACAGAGATTGGGGGTTATTTTCAGCCAAGGCTATGCTGGGCGGATGGTAGCTACTGCTGAAGTTGCAATTGTTGGAGGCGGTGAGAGTGGCACTGCACTTCAACTCAGTACACATGAGCTCTCATGATAACGTCTATGGATTCGACACAGAATGAACCCAGATCCTGAGAGCGGCCACCACGCGCGCGTGGGCCCTCGAGCTCTCATTCTAGCTTCTAGAAAAGAAAATGTGAATGCGTTGCCAAGTATTGGTTTAGACTTTTAATGAGGCAGGGCCCAGCTTTCGAAACAAAAGTGTTTGGGAATTGCTTAAATTTCAGTCCCGACACTAGCTGAGAGCTCACCGACCCAATCACTACTTGTCAAAATTATAGCATGTGGCTTCTACGAAGGTAAAGTTTCCCCTTTGTTTCCCTCCCACCTTCCACTTTCCCCTATCGGCGGCCCCCTCTCCCCTCCCCTCATACTGATAAAACGCCCCGCGCAAGCTAGCCTACCCGCGCGATTGGTTCATGGTTCATGTCATAGATTAAAAAGTTATGTTAAACCGAGCGCCCCCTTCTCCCTACCTACTCTACCGTAATCCCGGTTTTTTTCCTTCACATGCGGGTAATAACCTTTTTTTCTCTTTCCCTCCCAGCAAATAAGGCTTGATCGCTGGGGAGTGAGTGAGTAATCCTTGAACCCTTCAACTGTCGCTCAGGGCATGTTATGCAGCGAACGATCCCCCACGATTGGAGAGTTAGACCCCCCGGGGGTGATTACTTACAGATGTAGGTACTCGCCGTTTACATACATACAGGTGGTTATGTAGACAGCATTCCGGATTCCGGTGCCGGGATTAAGCGCTTTGATCATGAGATCTCACCCTGTGAAGTGGGAGGAATTGGAAAGAGGGAGTTTGGGAGGTGAGATTTTTGATACACACGGCTCTTTGGATATCTGACGGATGAACGTTAACGGCGGCGAGCGGACGGGTAGGGAGGGACATGTAAGTCCAACGCATGCCAATCTACATACTACATGTAACTCAAAGTGACCAAAGAAACAAAAGAAGACATAAAACGGTAGAGTTAACGATGATGCTATAGTACATAAGTTACCTACATTGAGTATACGTACTCTGCTCTACTCCTATCCAAAGTACGGTAGGCAACGGGCAACTATTATACTCTGTTGCGTTAAACCACCATCTACCCCGCCCTTCGTTTCATGACAAGCCATCATCAATAAAATCCAGGACCGACGTGGCAAATAGCTTACCCCTGTGCCCTAGAAACGAACCAGTTAGGAAAGCCTTACGAACTTCTCTACCCCTTCAAACAGTTGGCCAGGGTTTCCCCCCTTATCCCTTATCGGTCGGAGAGTATCATCATAACGCCTACATACACCTTCTCTTTTGTCCCGCGAACGAGCGCTGAGGAGGGAAGGCATGTACAGGAGGAAGAAGAAAGGAAGGAAGCAATAAGGAATGATCATATTCATGAATAGATTGAAAAACGGAAAAGCGCTCCACACGTGTGCGTTACCAACTTCCTTTGGTACCAGGAAAAGCTCCTGACTGGTTCCTTGTCTGCTGTTGCCACGCCTTTTTCGCTAGGGAAAGTTGGCGGCGGTAGTACCTGACTGTCCCTGGCTCGGCGTCTGGATCTGATAAGCCGTCCCATCGTGCTGCCACTCGTCATTGCGCGTACCTGCAGCTGGACGGCACAGCCTGTTCGCTTGTCGGTGAAATATTCAGCAGATGTTTTCCGTGTGGCTTGGCCGCGGGGAATTAATCCACTTGTAGCTAGCGGTCAGACTCATATCAGCTGGAGTGACTTTGTGGCAGTAAAGCCTGTTTAAAAGTTGCTTGTGAGCAATGGAATCGTATCTACAGCGGGAGAAGGAGGATATGGTGGTCGTCGTGGTGAAAGAACTTGGTCCATAACTACGACGGCGACGACGACGACGGACAGAAATGGATTCCAAAGTAGAGCATGTATCCTTTACCGAGAAAGGACAGCAGCTGAGGTACAGAAAAGGACCTTTCCTGCCCTTCATCCTCGGTTCCATCACTCGGTTGCTAGCGTGGACACCCCTTACTCGCGCACACTTCGTAAGACTTCTCACTACTGCAGTCTCTTCTGCTGCTCTACGTTTCATGATGGCCTCAACTCGGCCCAAAAAAAATCAAAAAGCAACGTGAAGGTAAGGGTAAGTTGGGGGTTTCACGACACTAGTGGTGACTTGTTGTGCTTATTCGGGTGCTGATTGGATCACCCAGTTTACCGCCAAGCGCTCATCCTATCTAAAAAGTCAAGCTTCAGGCATCGAGTACGTATTTAGTCTGTGCGTGGTTTAGTTGGGTCAAAAAGTAGGTACATCTTGAACAAGTACCGGGGATGTGTCCTTGTGTACCAATGACATCTACGATCAATCTCGGCGCGAAAGAGATGGAGGAATGGGCGGAACGAATGTCTCTCCATGATGAATTCAGGTTAGCAGACTGCCGACCCCTCATCATCATAGATACATATACTAATTGAGGAATTATCTACACCCAATGAGGTATTTTTAGCTAATCGTCAATTATTTTTTGAGTATCTCGAGTCGGCAAAAGAATAGAATATGCAGCTTACCTATGTAGGTACTCTACCAGCTATTTTTTCGAGATATTTACACATCAAAGAAGTGCATGTTAGGTATATTCTAGAAGTATTGATCTACTGGTATACTCTACAGCACCTGAATATTTCCCTTCGCCACTATTCTTGCAACTGAGCTTGTCCCTCCGCCACTATTTGCACGTACTTTATTTGACCATTACCGAGATTCCGCCTCTCGGAACCGAGCCGTTGGAGGAAAGCAGGCACGCAGCAGTCACTCTGCCATCTGCCTACTGCCGCGGCATGGGTTGCCCTTTTCACTCACGTATTCTTAGTTGAGTGCCGGTCTGCAATTCTCATTGGCGATGGAAACCCTAACCCCAAAAATGGTGTGCAGCGCTCTGCAGAAGGTGTCCGCTTTCGTACGACCGCGCGCTTGCCCGAAACTGCACACCCAAAGGTCCAGCCCTGATGTCCTATTGGTGTACCTGGTTCCTATCAAGGATGCAGCATTAGGACGATCGCCACACGGACAAACCAGAGGACAGAAAATTTTCCTGCGGCCAGTATCCTTGAACTGATGGGCAGGGGTCCATTCTTGGGTTTTCCAGGCTGTCAACGTTCTTTGCTAGCTTATTGGATACACCATGTGAAGGAAATATGGGCGAGCTAACTAGGTAGTCCTTAGTAGAGGTAGTGCCGAAACCTGAATCTTGGGCGGAGTCCTTCTACTGATATAAGACCCCTTCTTTCACCCCGATTCTGGTTTTTTTTATTCCACATCAGCCAGCATCCACAGCAAGCAAGTCTTCCACTGTCTTTCAGTTACTTTCGTTCTTTCACTCACTAAGCTTCTTTTCTCGAAACGACTGGGTCGTTCATTTGAATTTGTTTCCAAACACCCATCAACCATTCTTTTTGGATACCTTAAAAAACAAATTCAGTTATCTATAACCTTTTTTGGTCTTACAAATAAGCCTTAACACTTCAGAAGTACCGGTACTCTTCACGCTAGCTCCCAACAAATAACAACCTTTTTCGACAATACTCTCAACCAACTTCACAAAAATGTCTCCCTCATTCGCAACCATTTTCTGCGCTATCCTCCCCCTCTTCAGCATTGCCAATGCTCACATGAAGATGACCGACCCCGCGCCAATCCGTCTGCCAGAGAACACGTTCGCTGTCACCAAGGACTACGACTACACCTCCCCTCTTTCCGACTCCGGCTCCGACTACCCTTGCAAGGGCTACGCCTCTCTCCTCGACACTGCCGAGGGTGGTTCTGTCGCTACCTATGCTGCTGGATCCTCGCAATCAGTGACTATTGCCGGTGGTGCTAACCACAATGGTGGATCTTGCCAGCTCTCAATCTCTGAGGACGGCGGTTCAACTTTCAAGGTCATCCAATCTTACATTGGAAACTGCCCTGTTTCGGGGACATCCTCACTCTCATACACTATCCCAGCGGATACCAAGAGTGGAAAGGTCCTCTTGGCTTGGTCTTGGTTCAACAGGACTGGTAACAGGGAGATGTACATGAACTGCGCTGCTGTCACTGTCACTGGTGGTGGATCCGGTCTCTCAGCCTACCCAGATATCTTCACTGCCAACATTGGAAACGGATGCACAACCGTCGAGGGAACTGACGTGGAGTTCCCCAACCCAGGCTCTGCTATCACCACCGGCTCCGGTGCCAACCCTGGCGCTCCTGTCGGTTCTTGCGGTAGCTCTGGCTCTGGTTCCGGCTCCGGCTCCGGCTCCGGATCTGGATCTGGATCTGAATCATCAGTTGCCGCTACTCCTACTGCCGCTACATCCACCGCCGCCGCCGCTACCTCCGTCGCCGCTACCTCAACTGTCAGGCTTCCTTCAAGCTACCCAAGCTACCCCGGTGCTCCTGGCAAGACCAAGACCGCTTCCGTCCCCGAGGCCTCTCCTTCCGACACCACCGGCGAGGAGGGTGTCATTGGCAACACCGAGTGCAAGAGATCCGTCCGTTACACCCGCGCGCTCCCTGTCCAGGTTCCTTCCGGATGCCAGTGCTCTTGCGAGAACAACAAGCCCGTCCCTGTCTGCGGTGCTTAAATATTTCTCTCTTTCTCTCTCATACACACTCCTTTAGAGCTTCTTCATCTTCTTGTTCAACTTTTTTGTGAAACAATTCTTTTGGGTGTATTATTACAATTTTTTTTTTGGGGGGGGGGGCGGGCCAGCTGAGCTGAGCTGGCGGTACTTCTTGATGTACAGACCTTTTTTTTCTCTTCTTTTGTCCTTTTTTGTATTTTGCTTTCTTTTGTTAGTGTGGACTTGACTTTTTTGGGAGGGGGTGCTTGGTTGGTCGTGTGTGTTAATAGACCGGCTGGAATATATATTACCATTCAAAAATGACTTCTTTTTGCTCAAAGTGATTCTTGAACTATACGGTGATCTGTGACCATCATGACTTGCAAATTAACTCTAAACTGATCCTCGCGAGAACTTACTTACTACCTGCTACCTGCTCCATCTGGATCATGAGCCGAGTGGGGTAGTATCAGGGGGAGCTGGGGCGGGGCGGGGCCCGGGGGGGGGGTGGGCGGGGAGAAGGTAGGTGGGTTTGGTAGTTGCTAATTAGGAACCACTCAGTAGAAAAACCCAAATACGTATACGACGAAACAGAAAAATACCAGACGAGACGAGACGACATTGGTGCAGTTCAGTGCGGGGGATGGAACCCTGTCTATGGAGTACAATAATAGCATCTGATTACTAATCCCCAACTAGTTGCTAGTGTGCGCGCTACAGTCACTGGGTATCACTCGGTCAGCTCGGCGCTTGGCAGGTGGATCCGACACCGTGGAACGCAGGGTATGTGATTTGGTTGTTATTACGGATGCGGGAGTGCGGCACATGGGGTGTGTTTTTGGGTTGGTGTTGCATTCACGAGTTGGCGTGTTGGGGGTTTGGAGGTTGGGATTGGGGATTTGGAGACTGGTGAATATGTGGTCTATGGTCTGTGGAGTGTTTTTTTTTTTTTTTGGTTTTGGGGCCTCGCCTGTTAAGTAGGAACACTCATAAGTTAGGAAGATTGAAGACTGAAATATTGGGCAGTGGAAGTATGGTAAGTTAGGAGATAGGTATGTATATTAGAAATTATAAGTTACTATGAGCTATCCGTATATATAGAGACTCGTATGGTATGGATCATGCTGACGAAACGGAAACTCCAGCTGGACACATGGCAAAAAATGGGAATCGAATCACAAAACCACTCAAAGAAAGGCAAGAAAGAAAACACACCACGAAACACCGAGACCACGAAAAACAAAAGAAATAAAAAAAAGAAAAATCCTTAAATTTCCCCGGATCACAACCCCTCACTCGCCACTCACTCCCTACCACCCACCCCACCCCCACCCCCTCTCCCTCTGCGTCACCATCCCCTCCAGCCACCCCCTCCACCTCACCTCATCCTCCCCCACGCTCGCAATCTCATCGCGGACCCACTGCACCGTGTTCACAATGTCCCCCGCGCCGTCAGCAGCCAGCACCGCGCCCAGGACGCGGGCACACAGGCGCAGCAGCACGCACAGCTCGCGCGCGACGCGGATGTCGGCGTCGAGGTCGCCGGTGCGCACCGCGGACTCGGGCAGCAGCGCCCAGGCGTAGCGCTGCCGGAGGGCGCTCCAGTTGTGCGGGAGCTGCACTTCGAGGGTGTAGCGGTGGCGCCAGAGGGTGTGATAGGGGCGGAGGGAGGGCGCTGGGAGAGAAGGGGGTGTTAGTATATAGGATTGGGGGTGATGAATGGAGGGGGAAAGTGGAGATGTTATATACCCATTCCAACGATATGGATGATCGGGATCCCAACATGCCGGGCACTCACGTACCCGCTCTCAGTGACCCCTGGCCCCGCGGGGTCAAACAGCCTGATGAGCTCGCTGTCGGGGATCTGGTCGATGCGGACGTGGCCCTCTGCGGCGTTGGGCTCGGCGGAGAGGTGGTCCTCTTCTGATCTCTGGCGGCGGTGCGCGGCGTCTAGATCTTCGTTGCGGGCCATTTCAGTGATGGGAGGAGTGCTGGGGCGGAGGAGAGTGTGGAGCATGTATTTGCTCAGGCGTTTTGAGGCACGTTTGGTGGCTTGCATTGTGGTGGTGGGTGGGTGGGTGGGATGCTGTTATTGTACGGCTTTGCTTTATTGTGGGCCTTATCGCGATTGGGAGGGTTGGTGGTGGGGAGGTGTAGGGCTAGGGGTGCTGGGCGCACATGAACTGGCTATGGGGGTATTGCTTCTACGGGTTTAGTGGCTTGACTATTTGTTGATAATTGGGGGCTTGGAAGGCTATGAGCAATAGTATTGGCTGCTTGGGCCTGGGCGTGTGGTTGATTCATTGCGGTCACGGGTGGGGTAGAATGTGGGGTTGTGGGCTTTGTTCATGTGGCTCCCCTCTACCGGTGGGAGGCCTTTGTGGTTTGTCTGTATGCACATATGGCGCCGTTTGAAAGGGTAAATGATCATATCAACCAGTTCAGCGGGAAGTGCGGATAGTATTTATGGTGCCGTCTGTGGCGTGGGAAAAGGGTGCGTCGTGCCGTTGATTGGGCGGTTTTTTGGGGAAACCGTTTGTTGGGATCATAGAAGAAGAGGCCCTTATATACCGGTGGTTAAATTGGGCTTCACTTAATCAGTGTTATTGATTTCTGGGGGTAGAAGTCCTAGGCCGTTGGCTGGATACAAGGTGTTGCCTACATGCGGTTTCTTACAAAATTGTATCATGTGGGGCTAGGCTGTCAAACAGTAGATAGATCGGACTATATATGTAGCTAGCCTTGCTATCAATGGGGGTAATAATCATTTCTTTAGATGTGATGTCTGATAGGTTGTTGGGTCTTATGCTATTGTTCCATGACAAGGGTTCTGTTAAGTACCGCAAACGGAATCATGGACAAGAGCTAAGCATGATCGAAATTAAACACAAATCCGATTGAACAGACCATTTGAATCCCTGTCCTCTAATATACACCAGGCCATATAGAACGGCTAGCACGAGACATCAAGAATGGTTAGGATACGATTCATGCAAAGAGAATATTCCTAACGTCCAAGACGGAAGACAGTCAACGCCTACGGGGGTGTTTGCTTTGGAGGGGCATGAATAACTTTCTTGTTTGCAACTGGAGTTAAACCTTTATGATATAACTACGAGGTAATGATCGATATTAAGATCTAGAGTAGATAGATGGTAGCACAGGCGTATATGCGATGCAGTTGGATATAAAACGCCCTGCATAATGAAACCGGCGCACCTGCAGAAACCACTTACTCCACATCTCTATCATAATGGTTTGTACCTGAAGAGTTCAATATGGGAATCACAAGCACTTCTTTCAACTGCGATTGCCCATCTACAAACCCCCACCCCCCCCTTGTCTCCCAAGCCAATCACGATAATGATAAGGCGAGTCACGTGCGAGGGGTACATAAATACAACTTACATCTCTGACTCTTAACTCTTACATCATCCCGCACGGCAAACGACCGACGCCCACCGGTGCAATCCACCAACCACCAGAACCACCACCATACAAACCCCCCCTCCTACTCCCTCCTGTTTTCTCCCCCTCCTCCTCCACTACTTACCTATACCACACACTCACACCCAAAACCCCCCACACAAACAGACAATCAATAAAACACACACCATGGCCACAGATACACAGTACGACCAAACGCAGGAGGGCATCCCCTCGCTGCTCGACACCGACCTCTACAAGCTCACAATGCAATGCGCAGTCCTGGCAAACTACCCCGATGTTGGTTTGTTCGCCGCTCCGCCCGCTGGAACATGTTCTCTAACCCGTTCTGTCTCTCGCACGCCCAGATGTGACGTACGCCTTCACGAACCGAACCCCCGATCTGAAGCTCACGCGCGCAGCGTTCGAGTGGCTGGAGGTCCAGTGCGCAAGTACGTTTCCCGCCCGACCGACCGACCGGCCGGAACCTTCCATGATGCTGGTTTTTTCTTCTTTTCTTTCCGCTAATGAAGTGGTAGAGCTTGGCGATCTCCGTCTGACCGGCGACGAGCTCGAGTTCCTCAAGAAGGCATGTCCGTACCTGCCCGCGGCGTACATCGCGTATCTGGAGAAGTTCTACTTCCGGCCGGCGGAACAGCTGAAATTGACGTTCACGCCGGCGGGGGAGACGAGTGTGCAGATTGGCACGGAGCGGGAGGAGAGGGAGCTGGGTGCGGATAAGTTGGAGCTTGTTTGTTGCGCCGGATCTATCCGTTAGCTGGGAGGGAGGGAAGGCTAATTGTTGTAGGGTGATGTCAGGATCGACGTGGCGGGCAAGTGGGTGGAGACTATCCTTTACGAGATCCCGCTGTTGGTGTTGGTTAGTGAGGCGTTTTTCAAGTTTTCGAATACGGACTGGAATTACGATGGGCAGGAGGAGAGAGCGTATGGATATTCAATTTTCTGATATCTTTATGCTGTGCTGACGGATTTGGGGGAAAATAGATACAACAAAGCTAAAGTGCTCCTACAAAACGGCTGTGTGTTCTCAGAGTTTGGAACCAGAAGACGAAGAAGCTACCGTACGTTTTTTTTTCATGCCACTCCCCATGCCCTGAACTCTGTGGCTTATAGCTCCGGGCCCTATAGACACGCAAGAACTGGTCATCAAAGGCATCATCCGTGCAAACGAAGAGTTCAGTAAGGGCGATGGAGCTGGCCGTCTCAGTGGAACAAGCAACGTCCACTTCGCCCACAGATTCAATCTAACGCCCATCGGAACCGTCGCCCATGAATGGTTCATGGGCATTGCAGCCATCACAGACGACTACATATCCGCCAACGAAGTCGGGCTCGGGAAATGGGTCAACTGCTTCGGCGAAGGCGTAAGCTCTCCTCCCTCCCTCCCTTCCTTCCCTACAGGTTGGTACTAACACCCATCTAAAGACCCTCGGCATTGCCCTCACCGACACCTTCGGCACCGAGCAGTTCCTCCGCTGCTTTGCACAACCCTACAAGAACGGCAAGTCCTACGCCGAGACCTTCGCGGGCGTCCGCCAGGACTCTGGCGACCCCGAGATGTTCGTGAAGCGGATGCGCGGGTTCTACGACTCGCAGGGCATCAAGGAGGAGAAGACGATCGTCTTCTCGGACAGCTTGGACGTCGAGCTATGTTTGAAATACAACAAGGCTGCCCGTGCTGCGGGCTTCAATGTCAGTTTTGGCGTTGGGACCTTCTTGACCAGTGAGTTTTCACCCCCCCCCCCTCCCCTGGCTGGCCGGCTGGCTGCTCTTGATATGGTGATGGTGCTAACGCGGAAATTTAAAAGACGACTTCGTCCACCTCTCGCAGCCAAAGAAGAAGTCTACGCCGCTCAACATCGTCATCAAGATCTCGTCGGCCGGCGGTAACCCGGCGGTCAAGATCAGTGATAATATTGGCAAGAACACGGGCGATAAGGCGACGGTGGAGCGGGTCAAGCGGGATCTTGGCTACACGGAGAAGAGGTGGGAGGATGGCGATGAGAGGTTCAGGTGGGGTGGGAAGGAGTAGGAAAGTGTGGACTTTTTATTATTGTTATTATTATTATTTGTCTCTTGACATGATATGATGTGCATGGTGCATGCAATGTGGGGAGGGAAAAAGAAAAGGGGGGGGGGGGGGGTGTATACTAGCTCAAGTAGCACTTTGTATTGCTGTATTAGATACCATATGAATGCACATGTGGTTTGCAATCATCTTCTTGGCCGGATGATGGAACCCAGGAGACCCGTTTTCTGCTTTTGCGTCCTCTCTCTCCCTTCTTTCTAGCGGCGGTAGCAGTAAGTTTGTGACAGTTCCAACCCCGCGCAATTCGTAGTGATGGGTGAGAATGTGTGATGCTTGGCATATGGACCGTAGGTGTCCCCCCCCCCCCAAACCGGGCCACGTTCTGACTGAGTCGCAAGAGCGTCCTATCCACCAGGTGTTTGTTTTATCGGAATACAGAAAAAGCGCCACCCAACTCAAAAGAGATTTCACGTCCCAACCAGCAGCGATCATTAGAGTTTTGTGGATATATGGACAGACCCTGGCTTTAAATTTATGAGAGGTTTACTCTATATAAGCCGAAATAAGTACATATGTTTTTTTTTTAAAAAAAAAACATCGAATGGTAAGAGATTTCAGCAGCAAAAAAGCCCGGACTGGCCTATCGGAATCTGTTTACCATAGTCATAGGCGCCTGTCATACGACTCAAGGCTAGCAGAAAGCTTGAGCCTGGGAGCTAGTAAACTGGAGCTGGCTTTGTATGTTAAGGTAAGGGCTCGAGTATTTGGAATATGACCCCACCCCCGCTCGGCCCGTGTCAATCACTACCTGAGTATTGCAAGGGTTATAGTTAATTACTAAAGCTCCAGCTCGGTGGTTTAGGTGAAGGAAACACTTACATATACACATTTGACGCAACGTTTTAGTTCAGCTCATGATATTCCGCCAAACTTCCATAAGACCAGGAGTTGTGTCCTATCATGTTATTTATTTATTACTAAAGCATGCCTGACTACACATATCTATCTGACCAGCTATATGAACGGGTGGGACAATCTCTTACCAACGGGACAGTTTCTTACCAGTGGGAAGCTATTTTCAATGAAGTACGGTAAAGCGATCTCCTGGCGGATCATTGGGCGCCCAAGCCGTATGTTCTGGTGGATAGGACGACTTTGAATTGGATCGGTCAGAACAGCAATGATATTTTCCCCTCTCAATCAAAATCTGCGCCAACGCTAACACGCCGCTCCCAGTTTGAGACCCCCAAATTGCAAAACGTACCACCATCTGTACCAAACCAGCCGGCAGCATCCCCATGACCAGTCGATCGGGACTTATTGATCTCAGGGGAGCGCAACATTCCAATATCCTTCCCACGCACCGGAGTTCCGTGGCTTTGTCACGCCGAGTGGTCGGTGGTCAGCATCACCAAGCCTACCTAGACCGAGTACTGCATAGTGCCCGGCAGGCCCGCGATGACGCTCCAGGCAAGGTTTGGATGTGTCCTCGAGGTACATTCCTTGGTCCTTGTCTGTCATGTCCTCGAAGTCCGGCACTGCTATCTTCGAGGTCTCTCAATTGCAAGGACGACCAGGTAAAC